CTGCCTCACCCTCCCAAATTGCTGGAATTGCAGGCACGAGTCCCAAAGTGTTTTTATGACAGGCATGAGCCACAGTGCCTAGCCTAGATATTTAACATATATTCTAATTGTGGCTCTATCTCCGACTAGTCGTGTGCCACTGGGCAGGTCCCTCAGCCTCTCCGATTCTCATTTTCTCCATCTATAAAAGGGTGATCCTAATCATGCTGCCATATCAATTTCACAGAACTGTTCTGAGAGTCAACAGAGACAACATACGTGCATCACACTTGCTAGTTCCAAAGTGCTACAGAAATGCTAAATATTAAGTGTGATTTTATGACAGATGGGACCAAAGGCTTTCTGGAATATACTTGTGATTGTTTACTGAAAGCCACAGGAGGGATTGGGGAATTCCCTTCATGACAAAAAAAAAAAAAAAAAAAAAAAAAAAAAAATGCTTCAAAGCAAGCACTGATAGAAATCAGCTCTCACAGAAGGGATTTAAGGCCACCCCAGGGCAGGTCTCTTGTGTCATGGAGTGGGTGGTATGGACACTTGCGGTGGCGGGCGACCCTGTTGGGGAATAGCCCCTTCCTCTTCCTAATCCTGTCCACTATATACCCCCATCAGCCAGGATGCCCACCTGCCAACCACACTGGAGGAGGTGGAGAACCAGAAAACCAGGATTAGATGACCCAGAGCTCCAAACACAGCACAACAGTTACTTTTTAATTTTTTTTTTTTTTTTTTTTTTTTTTTTTTAGCTCTGTTACCCTGGCTGGAATGTACTGGTGCCAACATGGCTCACTGCAGCCTCAACTTCCCAGGCTCAAGCGATCTTCCCACATCAGCCTCCCAAGCAGCTGGAACAACAGGTACATGCCACCATGCCCGGCTAATTTATTTTTATTTTTATTACTTCTGTAGAGATGGGGTCTTGTTATGTTGCCCAGGTTGGTCTCAAACTCCTGGCCTCAAGTGATCCCCCTGTTTTGGTCTCCCAAAGTGCATCCCAGCACTTTGCTCTTTACAGGCCTGAGCACTTTACAGGCCTGAGCCCCCATGTCCAGCCTGTGGTCACTTCTTATGCAGACATTGGGTATGTTCTATAGAATCTTGGAGATTCTATTTATAAATAATAATAGCTGTTACTTTTCATGGCACTTTTACCACATACCAGACAACACATTAAGTATTTATCTCATCTAACTCTTCAATGACCCATAAGATACCCAATTTGTAGATGGGGAAACAGAGGTCACTGAAGTTAGGGGACACGCCTGAGGCCACACAGGAAGTAAGGGTAGAGCCAGGATTTAAAATCTGTCCGGTTCCGTGTATCGACACAGCCTCTCAGATATTTTCTAGCTCTGATGTTCTACTATTCTATTAACCCTCGCACATCAACAGCATTTTGTACTTTTCAAAGGTTATGGCAGAGTAGTTAAGAACCAGCTCTTGGGTTGGCCTCCCTGGGTTCCAATCAGCCTGTGACATTTACTGTGAGACCTTTGAGAGGTCACATAACCTGTCTGAGACTCTGTCCCCCCATGCCTACACCTGGGGTAATAGCAGCGTCTATATGGGGTTCCTGTGAGAATTACCTAAGGTGATATCCCCTAAAGCCTGTGGCACATAGTAAGTGCTCATGAAAGCTTTCCTTTCCTATTAGTTTCCCATTTTATCTGGTTTCCTTTTCTTCCTCTCCTCTGGCTGCTCTGTGAGACACCTTTCTCGCACTTGTAACAGTGGTCTTCACAGGATGGCCTTGCCTAGGGTTCCCTGGGGGCCAGTGAGGGAAGACTGAAGAGGCTGGGCTTTGAGGACCCCACTGACTCCATCGCAGGTCACAGAGAAGAGCTGCTTTCATCTGGTTCTGTATTTTGGAATTCTGCAATGATCTTATTAAAAAGAAGGGTTTCCTACTTAAGGAAATGTATAGACAAAAATGAAGGAAATGTGTAGACACTGAAACACACCCTAAAATGTATACATTCTCGTTTCTTATGTTATCATCCCACCATAGCCTCCAAAGACATGACCTCGGATGCACAGCAGTGAGCCAGTGGTTCTGGTTCGATCTTCACACCCCCAGCCCCGTCCTCTGGAACAGCGTGTGCATCCAAACAGGTGCTGGTCTTGTGTACAAGTATCTGGGTCCCAGCCTGGTGCAGCCCATCCAATAGCTGCGGGTGGGGCCTTGATTTAATAAACTCCCCAGGTGATCTCCGTAAAAGTGGTCAGAGGGTCACCCTTTGAGAAACACAGGTAGGGCAAAGGATGGGTATTTCTCTCTAATGCCTTTGAAAACTTCTTAAAATGTTGAACACTTTTCAAAGGAAATCACCTCTGGGATTCCAATATGTCAAACACACCTCGAAGTGGAGCCACCTCAGTGAAGACTTCTTGGAACACTGGCAACCCCAGCCTTTGGGTTTTCCACAGTGAGAACCCACAGCGCCTCCTTGTGGATCATCTGCTAAACTGGAACCAGTTCTGGCGGGGCTGAAGGACGTCTGTCACCTGGAGGCATCGCCCAGGACCCACACTGCTTTGTCCAGAACCCGCACTGTGCTGTCCACCCAGGTAGACCTGTCTCTTTATGCTATCTGATACTCCATGAGCTTCGTCTGCATCTGGCTGAGATTTTCCTGGAATATGCTCCCCACCACACTTAATCCTAGCCACCGCTTTATTAATCCCACATCTCACTCCAAGGATCTCCTGGAGTCTTCTCACCTCCAGCTGCTGCAGAATGTATATTCTGTGTAACATCATACCCTGTCTTGGTCCTCAGCTGTTTCTGGTGATCATGACACATCTCTTCAAACATATTAAAGTTAGACTGTAAACAGCTTGGGGCCAGAAACCCCCCTCTCCTTCCCTCATCAGGGTCCTGATCTGGGGGAATACCCAAGACACACTCACTAAATCAATGAACAAACAAATGACTTCACACTGCCTTTCCCGTCCTATCTAATACCAAAAAACCAACATACGCTGAGACTGGCTTTTAAGTTCTTCCTTATTTCAATTTTGGAGTGTGTAAAAGTATGAATGAGTTTCACTGCTCAACATGTGAACCTTTTTGCAAGGCAAGGCCAGGGAAGATAACCTCTACATTTTCTTCTTTTTAACCAAAAGCCTGAACAGCATCCTGTAGGCTACTGAAAAGAAGGGCTATTTCCCTTTGTAGAATACTCAGTAATAGATCTATTAGTTCTACCCAAGTAATTAATATTGTTACTATCCTTTTAATCCAGACTTCATTTACATAAGGTAAATAATTTTTGTTTTATATTGGGTCAAGATGATTAACTAAAAATATTAAATGGCTGATTGCAGTGGCTCATGCCTGTAATCCCAGCACTTTTGGGGGTTGAGGCAGGTGCCTTGCTTCAGCCCAGGAGTTTGAGATCAGCCTGGGAAACATGGCAAAACTGCATCTCCACCAAAGAATAATAAAAAAAGTAATTTTCCGGAAGTGGTGGTGCATGCCTATAGTCCCAGCTATTTGGGAGGCTGAGGTGGGAGGATCACTTGAGCCTGGAAAGTGGAGGCTGCTTTGGCCAAGATGGCACCACTGCATTCCAACCTGGGCAACAGAGTGAGACCCTATCTCAAAAAAAAAAAAAAAAAAAAATTAAAAAAATGTCCTATCAATTGTTTGGGTCAGTTACCTTTTTCACTTGTGATTTTTGCTTTCTACTGCTCTTCAATACACATTGCTTTAACGCATTTTCACATGCATTATAAAATTAATCTTTCACTCAAAGGTTTCTGCTTTGCATTCCTTCGCGTTCAACATTCCTATTGCTCCTGAATTACTTTGCAGTCACACACATTTCACAAATGTCCGAGTTCTGCTTCTTTTTCCTTTATGTGGTTTTCTAATGCATTGTTGATTTCTGTTTTTGAATCCCATGTGAGACCCTCTTCCTGAATTTATGAACCCAGACTGTTATTTCTAACGATGATCTATTTTCTTTTGTTGACGTATTTTATGCTTTTCAATGTTATTTCTTTTATTATAGGAATCACTCTGTTTTCTTCTACTTTTAAATAAATTTGGAAAATGGGCTGGGTGTGGTGGCTCACGCCAGTTACTTCAGCATTTTGGAAGGCTGAGGTGGGAGGATCGCTTGAGTCCAGGAGTTCACGACCAGCCTGGGCAACATAGTGAGACCCTGTCGCTATTGTGTGTGTGTGTGTGTGTGTGTGTGTTTAGTGTGTGTGTGTTTTTAAAGAAAAACACACTTAAAAAATAAAAATAAGAAAATAAATTTGGAAGATAAACACATTCCATTTTGGTTCTGTTAGCAATCAGTAAAACTGGTTAAAAGCTGACTCTCCTTTGGTTCCCTGTTGTTTCATAAAAAATGTCTGTGTGTACCTTTCTCAACAGCCGGAATCCTATGGATCCCAGGTTCCCCTGGGGAAGATGGGTTGGACTTTGGTTTCCTACTTGTGCTTATAGGGTTCTGGGCAACTTGGGAGGGCAAGACACTATGCCCTCATGGGATGACACTAATTGCTCCAAATTCCAGCACAAGGCTGGGGGCAGTCAGAGAACTGGCTCCTTCACCCACTCTGGGCTCCTCACCCATAACTGCCTTTCCACTGCCTTCCACTGCTGGGAGTTTTGAGCTTTTGTGTTGGCAGCTAAATATGCTCAGAATCCCTCCTCCTCAGTTTCTGGCATGTTTCTCCATGACTACCAAATGTTACTAGAAGAAGAGGGTGAGCCAGAGTTCAGCGAGGGTGGCCATCCTGATCCCTGCCTGCTGCTCCCAGCCTGAGAGGGTGGCTGCCCGCTGTGCTCTGTTACCCCATGGCAAGCACAGGTCTGACCTGTCAGTCCTCACAAAGACTCAGTTGACTGTTTTCGTTTGCGAAACACATAATCATCTTGACTGAGGAAACAAGCGCTCATTTCCTCCGCTGCTCAGAGGCAGGGGCAGCCCAACGGGTGACATGGCAGGCCCAGACCTTGAGATTCAGCCCCCAGGGGCTCTTACCTCAAACTGGATCAGCACTGTCCCGGTTTCGAGGCCCTTCTTTAGCTGTGCCATGGACCCCTCCAAAGTGTCCCCACCCTCCGGACACATGGGGAAAATGGGCTCAGGGAAAAGGTGGTTCAGTTCATCTTCAGACTTGAAGTCAGCAAATGAGCGGACAGCTGTAACGTACAAGACAGTGCATCTGACTTGTGTAGCAACACTCGGGTTTATCAGTTTCCCTCAAACAAATCACACCGATGACAACTACATGCAGATGGTGTAAAACATCTTATTAAATGATTAAGCTACAGGGTAATCATTTTCACCAAAGATACTACTTCTAGGCAAACGATTCAATGTGTGCTAATTACATAAAATGACATACTAATCTTCCTGGTTAGTTTTAAATAATGGTGTTTAGTACTCAGAGGCTTTTGTCAAAGGTAGGGGAAAGGGAAAGAATGTATTTTTAAAAACCATATTGTCTCTGCTTGCTCTTTCTACTCATCCCAATCCCCCTTTCTTTCTCAGGTTTTTTCATTTACTTCCCTAAAATGGGCATTTCTCCAGGCATGGGGGTGAGGTGGTCCCAGGCTCTCCCTGTGACACCACCATTCCTGAGAGGTCAATCCCTAACTCATGGCCATTTCTATGTGGGAGCCTCCCACATAATTATCTTAGTCCTAACACCTTCTCTGTGCTTCAGCCCTGCCTCCTTAGTACACATTCTCACTTCGTGTTAAATACAATACAGGTGAAAGCAAAGCTAGGACCCACCCCGACTTTGCACTGGTGAGGATCGGAGAGGTCCAGTAAGGCCTCATGAAGGAGGTGGGGTCCGAGCTGGTCCTGGTGGCTCTGGGCTGAGAGTTCTAGTGGGAGCAGAGCCAAGACAGGAGTGCAGCAGTGTGGGGTATGAGGCAGGCAGAGACGCAGGGCCAGGGCTTTGCAGGCACAACCCTCATTTACTTCCAGTATTTTACAGCTGTGCAGGGGGTTCAAGGAACTTGACTATTATTTTATAACAACAACTATAAAGACAACAATATGATGTTCAGTAGAGGCTGCGCTTCAAACCTCTGCCCCCATCAGACAGTGATCCAGGTGCTTTCCAGTCTAAGTGCCATTTATTTATTTGTTTGTTGAGATGGAATCTCGCTCTATCATCCAGGCCGGGGTGCAGTGGCATGATCTTGGCTCACTGCAACCTCCACTTCCTGGGTTCAAGTGATTCTCCTACTTCAGCCTCCCAAGCAGCTGGGACTACAGGCACATGGCACTACACCCAGCTAATTTTTTCTGTTTTTAGTAGAGGCAGGGTTTCAACCATGTTGGTCAAGATGGTCTTGAACTCCTGACCTCAAATGATCCACCCGCCTTGGCCTTTCCAAAGTGCTGGGATTACAGGCATGAGCCACTGTACCTGGCCCCAAGTGCCATTTAATCTTCACAACAACCCTATGAAGTTAGGACCACTGCTGTCCTCCTTCACTCCTGAGCGAGCTGAGCCACAGGTTGGGTATGTAACTTGTGCAGGGTCCCCAGCCCTCAGAGGCAGAGTGAGGAATCACCCATGACAGTCAGGCCCTGTTCTCCTCACTGCCTCTCTGACAAAAATCAAACACATGTTAATAAAACATAACCCGATCCTTTGAGAAGGGGCTGAAAATGCAAATGTCTGCAGGGCCATGCCACGTAGGGAGTGCATGACGCGGGCTGCACTGGGCCTGGGAGGAATCAGGGGTGGGGGGCTCATGTCCTGTAGCAAGGGGGTGGGTGGCGCTGCCTCCCTACAGAAGACTGGCCACATGGGGACAGGCCTCATGTGGGCAGATCTTCACACTTTTCAAGTGAGAAGCCAAACATCTGGTTATTATGTGAAGATTCTTGATTTTCAAATGTTGGCTACAAATTCAACATTTTCAAGAGCAGATAAAGGGCTGGGGCAAGCCTGGCTTTGCTAGGGCAGCATCCCTATGGCTCCTCCCCCCAGGTGGCCATTACCTCTCCTCCTGATCACCAGGGCCAGTTCCCGTGAGTGGGACTCCCGGCTGGCTTTGATGAACATCACCACTTGGTCATGGGTGTGTTCTGAGATGTCCCGGCCATTGATTAACACGATTTGATCCCCTTCATTCAGCTTAGGAATGCAGGTGTCCGCCTGGGTGGAGGGGAAAAGCGAGTTTCTTCTGTTACCATAACACAGTCCTCGGGGAAGAACCCTGACTCGCTCTGCTCCCAGACACTTGAGACCATGATCAGGTTCGCCTTCGCTCCCTCGGGTAGTATTGTCATTATTTTTATAATACATCCACTGCTATGAGGACATGGTAGATTGTTGTGAGATCTTTAAAGTCCTGCTCAGAATATAAGTTGTGAAACATTTCAGAATAGGGCTACAAAAATTACTGAAGCCATTTCTCTGTGGTAGTCAACTTTCACTTATTACAGTAAGTGAAACATCGTTTCCAGTCTTTTGTTTCCTAGATATACTGCTAGGAAGTGATTTGCCAGCTAGAGGTGAGTATTTATCTGTTGTGCAAAGGTGAAAGCTTTTGTAAACTTCACTGCAGAGGCAAAAACCATTACGGAGGGAGGCAATGAAGTGAACAGCACAGGAAAGCCAGCCTTCTGAATTTACAGAAACCGTAAACAGTAACAAAAGCTAAATGACAAGAGCTTAAGGACTACTTCAGAGTAAAATCCCAAAAGTGGTTCGCTGTAAGGAGGCACAGTGACTCCTACAGCTTTAAAAAGGCAGATGATTAAAAGGTAACTGTGGAGCCAGGTGAGGTGGCACACACCTGTGGTACCAGCTAGTTGGGAAGCTGAGGCTGGAGGATTGCTGGAGCCCAGTAAGAGGCTGCAGTGATTGCAACACTGCATTCCAGCCTGGGTGACAGAGTGGGACCCTGGCTCTTAAAAAGAAAAAAAAGTCTTAATTATGGAAAGTGAGGAACATGTTAATTTGTTTGACTGCAGTATGATATGTATAACAAGACACATGTTGTACACTCTGAGTATGCACAATGAAAATATTAAAGGAAAAAATTGCTTAATATTTTATTATTTTAAAAACAATAAAATAAATTCATTTTATTTTATTTTTATTTTTGAGATGGAGTCTTGCTCTGTCATCCAGGCTGGAGGGCAGTGGCACGATTTCAGCTCACTGCAACCTCTGCCTCCCGGGTTCAAGCAATTTTCCTGCCTCAGCCTCTGGAGTAGCTAGGATCACACCTGTGTGCCACTATGCCCTGACAATTTTTGTATTTTTTGTTCAGACAGTGTTTCACCCTGTTGGCCAGGCAGGCTGGTCTTGAACTCCTGACCTCAAGTGATTCACCTGCCTTGGCCTCCCAAAGTGCTGGGATTACAGGTATGAGCCACTAGGCCTGGCCTAAAAACAATAAAATAAAATTGAAAGGAAAAAGCAAACACTCTTCTTAGAAGACCTACACAGAGGGCAAAGGGGGCGCTGGTGGAAATATGGTGAGAAGAGGCATGGGGCCCACGTGCCCCTTAGAGTGAGCAGAACAGCAGACTGCCTCAGTTTCCTTCTCCTAAAAGGACTTCTCAAAATTTAATGTGCGCACCAATCACTCAAGGCTCTTGTTAAAAATGTGGATTCTGGTTCAACAAGTCTAAGCTGGGGCCAGAGATTCTGTAATCTTAATGAGGTCCAAGGTAACATGGGTGCCATGGCTTCAAAGACCACGCCAAGCAGAAGGTTCTAGAAAACATGGTGATATGTATCTAAACACATTCTCTGTGGCTGGTAAAAAAAAAAAAAAAAAAAAAAGAAACAGGACACAGAGAAACAGAAACCTGTCAGAATTAGGGGAAAACAAATATGAGAAATAACATGGAATGTGTTTACTTACAGGTGATTCTGGGTTTATCCTTGATACCACAAGAGGCATCTTTTGATCCACTCCTCCCTGTAAACATTGTAAAGTAAAATAAAAAAATTTTTTTAAGTTAAAAATAATACTTAGGTAGTTCACAGCATCAGCAACATGGAGGTACCAATAAATGTGAGTCTTTGGTACAGGGAGGTCTCAAACTTCACTATGACTGATTCGAATCACACGTCATTTCAGAAACAGGGAACAAATTCCTGACTCCTCTGGATCCAGCAGGCTGACCAGGACTCTGTTCAGAAGCCTCCCTCTGCCATCCCCACAGTCCATGAACTAGAAGATGTACTCAGAGAGGGCAAGCTCCTCCTTATAAATGCAGACACCCTCGGGAGAGGTACTCCACGCGTGTCTTCTGAGTGCTGCTGAAAAAGGGCACTGTTGGCAGAGGCGAGCGAGGCCTGGGAAAGGGGCACACCCTGTGAGTGCATCTGGCCTGTGAGGGCTCGTCCTTAACACAGCTGCTGGGGCAGATGAGGCTGTGCATGACGGCAGCTGGGGGGTTGTGGACCACCTGCCCTCACTCTGTCCTAGAGTAGGGGGTGAGTAATGCTTCTGTAAAGGGCCAGAGAGACTTTGTGGGAGTCAGAGCTCAGTTGCAACTGCTCATCTCTGCACCCATTAACCCACCAGTAAACAAATGGGTGTGGCTGTTACGGAAAAAACTAGTTACAGAAATAGATGGGATTTGGCCTATGGGTTCAGTTTGCAGATCCTGCTTAAAGGTGCCGGGAGGGGAGTGGTGGCCCTGCAGGTTGGACTTGAATTGTTTTCTCTTATCAGCTTTAGCAATGCTGAGGGCTTACTTTAATGGCATTCCTGAAGCAGGTAGATCTATTTGCCAACTGTGTGCCCTCATCTCTTGGAGCCTCAGTATTCATTTGTAAAATGGGTTTAAAATGCTGACCTTACTGCTTGTTATCAGAACGGAAGAAGGTGCTATGAATCTAGTGCACAGTCAGTTCCAGGCACAGAGCAGGAACTTGGCCCTTGGCATCTGCTAAGTCCACATTAAAAAAACCTCTCAATTCTAGGTGGGGAGTGGTGGTTCACGCCTGTAATCCCAGCACTTTGGGAGGCCAAAGTGAGTAGATCGCTTGAGGTCAGGAGTTTAAGATCTGCCTGGACAACACGGTGAAACCCCATCTCTACAAACAATATATAAAAAATTAGCCGGGTGTGGTGGTGCATGCTTATAGTCCCAGCTGTGGTGGGAGAATCACCTGAGCCTGGGGAGGTTGGCGCTGCAGTGAGCTGTGATCGTGCCGCTGCACTCCAGGTTTGGGCGACAGAGTGAGATTTTCCAAAAAAAAAAAAAAAAAAAAAAAAGCCAAAAAAACCGAAACCAAACAAAAACAACAACAAAAACCCAACTCTCAATTGGGAGGGTTGAAACAATTTCCTTATGTAGCTTAAGAATGCAGCACATTTCTACTGAAAATTAAAAACTCATCAAAAGATTGCTTCACAGCATAAAGCTTCCTTTATAAATACACAACATACCTTCAGATTAAATCCAAATTTTCCATCTTCATCTGGTGTGATACGGATCAAGACTAAGTAGCCGTCACCATTATCATTCTGGAAAACGTTTGAAAGTGGTCATTTATATCACATCTCTCTCCGGCAGTTGGTGATAAGAGATTTTCATGTAGTTAGAGCTACTCAGCTGCCCACGAGGGGCCTCGAGCTTGGGTGGGCCAGCTGGCCACCTGCGCCTGCTCACCTTGTCACAGTAGTACTGGCTGGCGTCCTCGGTGGAGCCCCCTTTGGTCACCCTGTGGAAGTCATCTAAGAACTGCTGATCGACGCCGTCAGGTGAGCAGGAGCCTGGAGCATTTGAAGACGGAGACACAGAACTGGATGACTTCTGGGTCAGGTAGCTTTGTGCTGGATTGTTCTCGGATAAACTCCTTCATCATGGGGAAGGAGGAGATATTAATAACTGGGTTAATATTTTATTAGAGCAAACACTACTGATGTAGGGGCCTGGCACCTTAGGGCCAAATGTTTCCCTGGAAGCTCAGCTGCACAGGTCTTCAGTGGGATTTGAGTACACCCAGGGCCCATAGACCACCCCTGGCCTAGACAATGTCACACGGTTCTGGGGAAAAGGGATAGGAGGCAGGGTGGATCTGGGAACTGCTAAAAACTCCACTCCCTTCCCTGCTGCTTTAGAAGGGCGACAGGGAAATGTGCCCAGCGACTCTGGTGGCTTCATTAGTGAACCAGGCTCTGCCAGGCAGGATCACGCAGATGCACAGCCCATCCCTTCTGAAAGCTTTTTTCCTTCTGTCTCATTTCTGCTGATGGTTCTGCTTCATAGGACTCTTGCCTCCTCAAAGGAAATGGGACTATTGTGGATTGCGGAGATTTATATTATTCCTAGTTGGCATGATTTGCCGGTGACATCCATTAACTGCCATGCTGAGATCATCTTTAATTTTCCTCTACCTAATATCGTTTCTTCTGTATTGTAGAGCTGCACTGTCCAGTGTGGTAGCCACTAGTCACATGAGGCTACTTAAATTTAAACAAAGACAAAGGGCCAGCCATACTTCACATGCTCACTAGATCCATGCAGTCAGGGGCTCCTGTATTAGCCAGTGCAGTTAGAGAACATTTTCCCCACGGTAGGAAGTCTTGCAGGACAGTGCTGTCTTAGAGAATTACAGATGATGAGAACTGAACAGACCTCTGTGCTCTTTTGCTCTAACTCCCAGTTCCGTTCACAGGTGAAGAAACTAAGGTCAGAAGAGGCTGAGTAACTTGCCTGGGGTCACAGAGCTTACCCCTCACTGAGCAGACAGAAGCCTGACCGATGTGTGTCCTGAGCTTTTCTTCCCCCTCCAGGCTATGCAGAGCCCATTCCCAAGACCCCCATTTCTAACCTCTCAAGGTCAGAAGGACTAGCTATCCTTACTGTCACTGTGCAGGACAGGACCCTTAACATCTCTGCATCACCCACACCAGTCCCTTCCAGAGCCACAGGCCCAGCACAGACACCTTACAGAGCTGCTGAATACTGTGCTCTCCTACATTCTAAGACTCTGCCCCATCCTAACCTCATCCAAGGTGAAGTGAGAAGAAAATCACAGAGACCAAGTCATTCAGTGAAACCCAGACAAAAGACAGCTGCTACTGCCTCTCTCTCGACCTTTATTTCCAGCCCTTACCCAAGGATTTTTCATAAAATTGGTGCTTCTCTTTCTCCTAATGAGTTCAAATGAGCTTAATTTAAATACAAAATCTGTGTCATAGTCACACAGAATGATTCATAATCAAAATCTATTTGAATAAAATATTCAGTGACAGACCGCTGGAGAAACACAGTTATACAGAGGACAAGAGTCTGGCCTTATGGTGTCCAAGTTGCTGGTTGTGGGTAGGGTGTTATGGATGGGAAGGCATTTCAGAGATGGAATATTTTGGAATTGAAGTTGTACACAAGTTTTCGGACTGAAAAAGAATGACTTTCACTTACGTAAAAGGAAGCTTTAAAAAATTGCCCCCAGATACGGCATCTTTGCTAGGTTTCACTGTTTACAAGAGCATCACCTAGTGGCAGAAAGGGCAACTGCTTGGCAGTTACAAAACAAGTTAAAATGGTATTTCCAGTTCTTGTTCTGTCTCTCTCTCCCCCTCTTTCCCTCCCCTCCCCGCATCCAGTCTTTTTTCTTTTGAGATAGGATAATTCTCTGTTGTCCAGGTTGGAGTGGCGTTTCGTGACCACAGCTCACTGCAGCCTCGATCTCTGGGCTCAAGCGATCTTCCTATCTTGGTCTCCCGAGTGGCTGGAACCACAGGCATCCACCATCATGTCCAAGTAATTAAAAAAATTTTTTTTTGTAGACACATGGTCTCACTATGTTACCCAGGCTGGTCTAGAACTCCTGGTCTCAAGCAATCCTCCTGCATTGGCCTCCCTAAGTGTTGGGATTATAGGTGTGAGCCACCATCCCTAGCCCTGTTTCTCTTTTTGAATTTAAAACTCAATGGTCTGTCTAAAATAGCCCATGGTATTAAATGACAACAGTACTACTACTGCTACTATTGCTGCTAGTACTAATACTATATTCCAGGTCATTTTATACTCTAACCTGTTTTCTATCTAAACAGGGTTGGAGGGATTACTCTTAGTCATTTATTTCAACAAATGGCTGATTTTTAGCCTGCTCAACTGTGTACAGAGCTGCTTTGTAGGGCATCAAGAGGTGATGTTCTGTTCAGTGTGCAAGATGGACAGACAGACAAGGAAGAGGACATCAAATGATGAGATGCAATGAGCAGGTGGCTGCTGGACACAGCACAGGGTGGCCAGGGGTGAAGGCACCAAAGCCCGGGCACCTCCTCCATCCACTGGGCAGAATGCAGTGCGGCTGAGGAGCGTGGGGGAGCTGCCCCGTGAATTCCACAAGTGGAGCGAAGAAAGGGGCAGGATGAGGGATGCAAAAAGACGGTGAGGGAGGGACAGAGCCAATGACTAGGGGAAGGAAGGAGTAGAAGAGGTTGGTCCCTGAGGCAGGAAGGGGAGACACCGTGGAAGAACCCATGTGGGATTGACAACACCCTGGTTTTCTTAGGGAGAAAGGGGTAGAGACAAGAGACAGAGAAATGTGAGACACAGACTGACCACCAGGCAGACAAACAAATACTCCCCCTCCAGAAAACACATGCTTCCGAACTGTAGCTCTCCCTAAACCCTGGAAAATTACAAAGACCTCCCCAAACCCTGCCTGTTAAAGGGGGCAAAGTCTTGCTCTCAAATTGCAGTGTGATGGAACAGGGGCCCTGCTTTGGGAGCTTCTCAAGGTCAGGAGACTCTAGTGCTCTTTCTATTCCTCTCCCAGTGCTGGGGAACATAGGACCAGACACACAGGGAGTTCTCAACTGAAATGCTGAGTGAATGAAGAATAAAACCTCTTGGCAAAGTACCAAAAAGATCACCCAAGGCGATTGGATGAGTTACTCTAAAAGAGCAAGGAATGGCCGGGCATGGTGGCTCATGCCCGTAACCTGAGCACTTTGGGAGGTCAAGGCAAGCAGATCACGAGGTCAGGAGATCGAGACCATCCTGGCCAGCATGGTGAAACCCCGTCTCTACTAAAAATACAAAAATTAGCTGGGTGCGGTAGTGTGCACCGGTAATCTCAGCTACTAGGGAAGCTGAGGCAGGAGAATTGCTTGAACCTGGGAGGTGGAGATAGCAGTGAGCTGAGATTGTGCCACTGTACTCCATCCTGGTCACAGAGAGAGACTCCATCTCAAAAAAGAAAAAAAAGTTATCATAATAAAAAAAATAAGAGCAAAGAATGTACTCAGGAATCTGGAAGCTCAGGTGCAAAGAGAAGGCGGGTTAAATGGTTCTCAGCATCTGCAAGATCAGAGCTTCTGAGAATGCGCAGTACACATGAATCGCCTGGGGTCCTGTTCAATGCAGAGTATGATTTGGCAGGCCTGTGTGGGTCTGAGATTCTGCATCCGACCAGCTCTCAGGTGCTGCTGCTGCTCCTGCTGGCCCGTGGCCACAGCTGGAATAGCGCGGGGCTAGAGAAACGCAGAACGGTTCACCCAGAAAGCACAGTTTCTTCTGAATAAAATTCCTGGAGAAATTTCCCACATGGCTCCTTGCATAAGGGTCCTTCAGTAAAAGAAAGAATACTGTCTTCCAATACACATTTTTGTGACACGGAGACAGTCTCCACAGGAAACAGCTCATCAAGGGCACAAGATCAAAGTGGCAGAGGGAGTATGGTTCGGGTATGGTGCTTTCGGAGCTTTCAGTCTCTTTCCTGGTGGAACAGCAGATCGTGAATCTGTCCTCTAGGCTTCCCCTACAGATATCGGACATCTCATTGGCAAGAATGCACTTGCTAAACCTCAGTCAATTCGTCCCCGAATTCTCTGAGAATTTATTGACAGATGCCCCACAGGGGCACCTACCACACAGTCCTGCTCATGGGTGATAGTTACCAAACTTGTCAAAGTAAATGTGTTTGGGTCCAATAAATATGGTGTGATGTTGCTCACGTGATATGGACACATGATGTGGAAGTGGCAAAGGGGGCATCCCATTATGAAAACTTAGGAGTTTGTATCCTGGGGCCCCATTCAGTTTCATATAACCATCTGTCTGTTCACCTCTTCCATCTGTCCGTCCATCCAACCATCCATCCATCCATCATCTATCTGTCCATCCGTCCATCTGTCTGTCCATCCATCCATCCGTCCATCCAAATAGTCACTGAATGTCTATTAAATGCCAAATAACCATGTCAGATTTTAAGGAAGAAGAGCTGAATAGCGCACTATCCCTGCCCTCATAGAATTCATTGTCTACAAGAGAAGAAATACAAGTAATCAGATAATATTACCATGCTACAGTGGAGGTGCTCAGATGTCTGGGATACTGTATGAGGCCAGGAGAGGCTTTCTGGAGCAGATGCACTTGAGCTTGAGTTTGAAAGATGAATGAACAGGAGTTTGAACAGGTAGTCTAGTGGGAAAAAGAGGGCATTCTGGCAAAACACTTAAAATAACAAACAAAAGCAGCAACACAGGTCAAGGCAGGAAACAGCAAAAGCAGAGTTGAAAAAGCAGAGAACAGGTATTGAAGCAGGGAGTGACATTCTTGGATATGTATTTGAAAATGATAACTTTGCTATTCTTGTAAAGCACGGTGTGGAAGGAGGTGACATCAAAGACATGGGGACGGTTTGGACACGACTGAGCTAGACAGTGCAAGAGATGATGGTGGCTGCAGGGGGGGAGTGCCGTGGGGATGGCGGAGGAGTCAAATGCAAGTGATGTCTGGGAGGTAGAATTAACAAGATGAGAAACAGCCTAAGGACAGTGAAAGAAAAAGAGGAGCGAGGGATGACTAATGTTTCCAGTAAGTGCAACCCTGTAGTATTGAAACAATGGCCCCCCTTACCAAGACACAGGAACAGCCATGAGTTGGACACCAGCCAACATGAGGAGCTGAGATTGGATCATGTTGGGTTTCAGGCATTTGAGAGACGTCCACATGCAAGTGGGCCCAAACAAGAAGGCAAGGTTCAAGGAAAAGGGACATAAACACTCTGAACAAAACCCTGTCCCTGGCTGGTGTCCTCCGAGGGGGACACGCAGAATGGTAGGCAGATCCCTCCTCCACATTCAGATTGGTGCCACCCTCTAGAAGGGCTCATCTGCACTTGGAGAAGGGTGGTTGTGAGGGTGACGGGTGGAAAGTGGCTACACTGGAACTGTCTATCTTACGGAGCAGTAACCAAGGTTGGCAGGTGGAACTGGGAGCAGACACCATCTGTGTTGTCCTGAGAGTTCAAGGCATTAACCTTGATGCCAGGTCAGTGTCAAGGAGGCTTCCAGCACAACTTGGGAAGAACAGTGGGCACCTGGGCTCTCTAACAACAGAGCACATTGCTGCACTGTAGGGGACTCTCCATTGCTGGCAGGGTGCTTGGGCCTGGGGGACCCACAGTAGGGTTTGGGGGGTTCCTATCCTGCCACCAAAGCTGAAAAAGGGGATCCCCTGGGTTCCTTCCAATGAAAAATTTTTTGTTGTTGTTGTTGTTGTTTTGAAACAGGGTCTCGCTCCAATGCCAGCCAGCCTGGAGTGCAGTGAGGCGATCAGCTCACTGCAGCCTTGACCTCCTGGGCTCAAGTGATTCTCTCACCTCAGCCTCCAGAGTAGCTAGCATTATAGGCACACAACATCGTGCCTGGCTCATTTTTGCACTTACTGTTAAAATGGAGTTTTGCCATGCTGCCCAGGCTGGTTTTGAACTCCTGGGCTCAAGCAATCTGCCCAGCAGGATTACAGGCATGAGCCACTGTGCCTGGCCTGCACAGAAGTTATGAAATAAAAAGCAATGGCTGCCCCACATCCCACGGAAGTAGGCCGGCTCTAAGGAAAGAGGCCAACGAACAGCAAAGAAGCCACGCAGGCGTGAAACCCCCTCCACTTGGAGGGGTGTCATGCTGCTGACCCGTCAAGACAACTGTGGTAAAACAGCAACCAGAAATTTTTTCTAATACAGCTCTAAACTGCCCCCAGTTCCTGTTCTGCATGTCTCTTTTTCTTTAGGGAACATTCTCTGCCTTTTATCTGGGTGGAGAGTGGTAGGTTTTTCATTTCTGCCATGAGGGAAACTAACTTCCCTGCAGAATTTGGTCTTCAATCGGAAGCAAGGAAAGGAACACACAATGGCTGCTAGAAGCTTGGGAGCAAAAAAAGAGAGTGCAGCCTACTTGGGCGCAAAGCAAACTGCCAGGGATTCATAACTATGATCACAAACTTTGCTGTGCTGCTATAAATACGGAGCAAACCAGAGAGTGACTCATCCGCTAAGATGGCACGCAGGCAGCCTGAGCCGCGCCGCTCTAGGTTTACAGCCAAAACCTAACCGCTCTTTTTCTTTCTCTCTTTCTTCTTTTTAAAATGAGTACAGAACATCACACTTAATTCTTCTTAAAAGGAACCCTCCTCACTGTCTGTGATATTATTTATCTGATTTCTCTGACACAATGCTTCTTTTTGCCTCTTAACACAAATCTGCTACATAAAACATGTCAAACATTTCTTAAGCATTTTGCAAATACTCACAGAAAGTCACCAACAGCGTTTTTTTTTTTTTCTTTCCTCACCAAGTACAGACCAGTCTGCACTTCTTACCAGAGGCAATGGGGGCCCCCAGGCCCTCGGGAGGCCCAGCTGCCTCTGAAGAACCAGCACAAAGTAGCTTCCCATCAGCAGGAAGAGGTCTCCTACCTAACAGAGGTGATGGGGGGCTGCTTTTCTAGTTGTTCACCCCACTTACAGAGCACAGCCACTAACTTGACCCCCTGACATGACTACTGTCAGTGCACCTGGCAAAACTCCACAAGGAGGCCGGACTTGAACCACCATTATTTGCTACTTTTAACATTTAGCTGCAAGATAAAAAAAAAAAAAAAAAGATTTTTAACATTTAGCTGCCCCAAGATGACACATTTTAGAAGGTCTCATGGAGGGGTTTCAAGAAGAATCACTGAGCAATGTATAAGAGCAAACAGGCCCAGAAGTCACTTACATCAAACAGGGCTTGAGGGGGTGAATCTGAAATCTTATTTAATTTTAGTGAACTGAAATGTAAACAGTCCTGCGGAGCTGGTGGCTCCTGTATTGGACAGTGAACATCTAGATGCTCCGCAATTCTGTGATGGGAATTACAGACCACAGGAGGAACATCTGATGTAGGACACCTACTGTTCCCTAAGCCCCCCTCCTCCTTTCACCAAAGCAACAGAGCCCTGGAGTATGGCAGCATGGTGTGATAATGTGCTATTTGCCCAGCTGGCCTGGAGGTTCCTGAATAAACCTGTCTAATTTGCTCTGGTGACCCCCTCCGTGACCAGCCAAGGATGTAGAAAGTGTGCCACTGGACTCGGGAATGAATGCAGGCCCTCTCAAGTGTCCACTTGTCACCGGATGGAATGCTTCCCTCCCTACCCAGTACAGACTGTATAAAGACATCAGCGGGTGCTGGGCTGGGAGGGCACTCAGAGGCCGCCCACCTGCCCCATGTCACAGATGAGCAGCTGGGTGAGAGGTGTGGGGCACCCGGACTGCAAGCAGGGTGATGACTCCAAACCTGTTTGTAAATATTCTAGGGGGTCATTCCACTTTAAATGAATGATGGAATAAATGTGTTAGTCTAGATGAGGGCTGTTGACAATACTTTCTGCAATGACGAGAACAGGCTGTATCTGTGCTGTCCAAAATGGAGGCCACCACTCCCGTGTGACTGTCAGGCACTTCAAAGGAGGCTCGTGTGACTGAGGAACTGAATGCTTACATTTTACTGTTTTAATTAAATTTGAATAGCCACCTGTGACTGGTGGCTGCTGTACTGGATGGGAAGGTCTCGATGCTGTACTATGCTGCGATGGGACTGTAACCACCGCAGGAAGCTCTGACGCGGCAGGCGTGAATGGGCTTCCCAGAGCCCTCCAACAGTTCCCTGAACTGTTTTCTCCTTTTGCCAAAGCGGCAGAGCCCCTGGTGCAGATTCAAAATGGCTCCAGTCACACATGCCTGCACTCCTGCCTTGTATTTCTAGGTACTGCTTGTGGTTTGAAAAGCTACGAAGTCACACAAGGGAACTCACAATCATCCACCTCAGCCCTGACAAACGGCAGCAGGCTGCCAGTTGGAACAAGAGATAGCGAGTGTTTAACAAAAGCATCATCCAAGATCAGGTCACAGGGAAGGAATGACCACAAAGATTATTTAACCAGAGGTGTTAAGAACACAGATAAACTGGAAACCATGTTTGCTGTGGGCAAGGACAGAGGAGAGGTAGCACCCTTAAACATACATGGGAAGGAGATTTGCAATTCACCCGTGAATGCCTGGAGTACAATCAGGATGTATTTGATGCTTTCAGCCTACTAGCAACAGTGGTACCTGCTTGCTAATCCTCCCTCACTATTACGGGAGGCATTATCTTTCTATATTTTAGACATAGTATGGGGTTAAAAGAATAGATACGATACCCAGTGACTATGGTTGATTTCCTAGCAGTTGATCCTTTTCTATCATGTTTTAACCTAATTTATACTCTTACCTACTTAAAAAAATGATTTGAGATAGTTTACCCCAAAATATACAGATATGTAACTATGAATCCATTAAAATAATTTTAAAAAAGACCCATACAACAAAGGCAAAGGAGGAAGAGAAGGTACTACGTAAGAAATCTTGGCTGAGGGAAGTGAACACAAGTGAGCATGATGTGCAGCTCTGAACTCCCTGGCCACCAAGGCAAAAAGGGAAACAAATGGGTTAAATATATCTTACTGAATAACAAAAGCATTCAACCAGTCTTTTAGGACAGACATTTTTTCTGGCCTTGAGCTAGGAGGGAAATTTGTCACATTATAAAAAAGGGGAGGGGGGGAGTGGGACAGAAAAATGTAACAAAAATTTGTCAAAGAAAATCAGCAATGTTCTAACGTGTTTGTTTCTTTATACTATTAATTGAAAACAAAACCCCTCAGAACTCTGTCATTCGGAGAAGGCTTTTAGAAGCAAGCATATTTCCAACGATTTGAAATCATGTGATGGTAAAACTTTAATAATCTAGAGAAATCAGAGTTAGCATGGCCCTAGAGTCTCTACCTCTAGAATATGGAATGATTTACACTGGGCTTTGCTTGTGAATTGGAGAGGAGACTAATTCAAGAGACTAACAAGTACTTAGTGAGAAGGTCTTTGTTGTAGACAAAAATAAAAAAAGTACACGCTCTAGATCCCAGGCACACAGACTGTCTTCCAGGTGAAAAGGTAGAGTCTGATTTATGTTCCCATCCTGGCAGGGGGCACCCTTGGGAGCTGGCTGTAGGCACCGGCTGTTGGCTCCTCTCAAATGGCAACCCGGACCTGAGCAAATTCTGCAACAGCCAAAAAGCAGATACCAAGAAAAGAAAACACAAGTTTCTTACTCTTGGTGCGGGCTTCGGTTCTGAGAAACTTCAGAATCGCTGTCTTGCGGAGCCAGAGAGCCCTTGTATGTGTAAAATACATCTTCCGTTTCCGTGATGTAGGTCATTTCATTTGCAAGGTTATCTGCAGAAGAGTGGCGTGGCTTTCGGATTTCGTGCCGGAGCCGAGGACTTCGCCTGGGTGGGGGAAAGGTTGAGTACAAAGGGTTCAAGGCAAATTCCACTTAAAAATTTTGTTAGAGACCAGTGACCTTTGTGTCCTGACCTTTCTAAGGATGCCTTCCCTGGCTGAGGCTGACATTCAGAGCTGGTTAACTCATGACCACCCCAGCAGAATGCACCAAGGGTGACACAAATCCCGAATACTCTTGGTCAAGTGGTGGCTCCCAGAACAGTAACCACAGCTGTATAAACAGGCAGAATTCAATGAGTTTATGCCCTTTGGGAAGTGATGGGTATTGACTTAAGGGTAAGTCATTCTTCCAGGAGGACTCAAGCTCTTAAGACATAAATAGGCCATACGGACTGCTGATCAGAGAATTTTTCTGATTAATTCGAACAATGCAAACAAAAGGCTAAGAAGACAAGCAATGTTTCTCTGCAAAACTCCAACCTTATTTCAACAACATCCCTTCATGTGAATTTCACTTGATCCAAGATAAAATGTTTGCTTTTAAAGATATATCCCTTATTAAACACGTGGCGTTAGATGGGCATATAAGCACTGTTCTGTCCTCCAACAGCAGCATACGCGTGTGACCTTGGGCAAGGCACGTCACCTCTGTGGGCCTGGGCTGTACTTACCTGCTCCTGAGAATGAATCCAATGAGGCCGTGTCCTCAGGACCTCCAGCGTGGTCCCTGCGTGTCAGCTCCTGCAGCGGGCGGTCCCAGGCTGCTGAGCTGCCTAAGTTCTATTTTCCCTCACAGCTTTTCCCTCTTCCCTTTCTGTGTTAGCCATCTCTCCTCAGGACTGTTAGGGCCTCCATGATTTGCAATCCCCCTGGGCCTGGATAATCAATAATGCTGTGTCCAAGGCAGAAGTAAAAAGGCTCCTGTGACTCCTCAGGAGAGGACCTATAAATAGCCACAAGAGCTCCAGGCCACGAGTGTGGCAACATCTAACCCCGCTGTTCCCCTGGATCCTGGCCTGGGCTCTCTGGGTCCCTGGCATTGCTGCCAATGAGATTTTCAGATACATGAAGCTGCTGTAGTATAGCATAAATCTACCTCTTTAGAATGAGGTATCTAAATTTTGGAAACCAAGAAGCAAGTCTATTCAGTTATGTCATGATTTCTAACACTAAATACTGTCCCTGTCCGTTCCCTGAGCATTAGGCCCCGAGTGAAGGGTCCTTCCCTTGCAGGCCCAGCACAGCATCTCCTCTGTCTGCCTGTCTCCCAGTTTCTCTTGGGCTTAGCAGATCCTGGCTCAGGTATTTACAGACACACACTCTTACTCCAGTGTGGAGCTGGGGGCAATGTTTTCCTGCTAGATTTTCCCTTCCAGCCCCTGGCCTTTTTGGAGGTAGCCACAAAAACGGTGTGATGTCTTTGGGGACCATTATAATAAGATAACGATAATTCCACCTGATTCTTTTGAAAGCTTACAATGTACTTGTACATTATGATTTCATTTGTGGTCGTTTTTGTGATCCTTTTAGAGATGGGGAAACTGAGGCTACAGAGGTAAAGAAACTTGTTAATTAACAGAAGGGCCAAAACCGGAGTTTAGGTCTTTCAGCTACAAACCCAGTACCCTTCCCACTTTACCAAACTGCCACCTATTTCCTTTTAGGCTGAGTCCTTCCTCTTAAGTTGGCAGGCTACTTCCTGATGTGCATTTGCTTCTGCTGCTGAAGGTCACACATCCTTACATCATTTATATCACGTGCCTGCATTAGTTTTTCCCCAAGTTTATTTTGTGGGATATTAATGGAAAACATGAATTAAGTAAAGCTAACCACACTTCGTTATCACGGACGTCTCAGAGTGTTTAACATGCTAACATGTGCTGTGATTCCAAAGGAGGCCTTTCAGCAGGCTAGAGTTTCCCAAATTATTTAGATCTAATAAGTTTTTTTTTTAAAAAAGAGCATCTCAGTATTACACAAAATGGAAAACATTCAGCTAGACTTGTGTACTTCATGAAAACAGTTACTTCTGCCAAGAGCCTAAAATGCAAATGTAAACTCTGAAGGTCATCTAGCTTTAGGAATTTATAAGTTGAGTTTTTATTTTTAAAAGAGATAAAGTGTCTACTGATGGGTAGTATAAAAAAAAAAAAAAAAGGAGGACATACCAGTTGGGAGTAATGGGAGGGGAACGAGAAGGCAGACTCTTGGTTTCTAAGTGCTCCACTGATAAGGATCTCCGCATGGCTGGGTTCCACACCATCCCGCCAATCACCTTTTTGCAATATTGGTTATTTACCGACCTGAAAAACCAGATGCAGGTTCACTTTCTACACTGACATGTTCAACAGGAAATAAATTACAGCATGTGTGAAACAGTCTACACATGCTTCTTGTCTGACGGATGGCTGCTTAACGCTAAGGTTATGGGGAGTAGAGGGAGACAGCTCAAAGCAATTCCTGTCTGTCCTGGAATTTCCTTATGTGATTTCTGCTCTTATAGTGAAAATCCTTTCTCGTCCTCACTGCTCAAGCAACAAAGCTGCTTCCAGAATATAACCAAACCTAACTAGATCAGAAGAAATTCCAGGATCACACAGAAATAGAGCTCAAGTGATTTCAAGGAATTCTTAATTTTATTCACACTGGCAGAAGTTAAAATATTAGCCATCTTTTCAGGTGCTCTTCATCATTCTAGCCGGCAGAAGCTGTCACTATAAATTACTGGTAACTCTGAGAGAAAAGCTGAAAATGCACTTAGAAAGTACAGTTTCAGGCTGGCTGCGGTGGCTCATGCCTGTAATCCCAGCACTTTGGGAGGATGAGGCGGGTGGATCACTTGAGGTCAGGAGTTCAAGACCAGCCTGGCCAACATGGCAAAACCCCATCTCTACTAAAAATACAAAAATATTAGCCAGGTGTAGTGGCGCATGCCTCTAAATCAGCTACTTGGGAGGCTGAGGTAGGAGAACCCCTTGAATCTCTGAGGCAGAGGTTGCAGCGAGCCAAGATTGTACCACTGTACTCCAGTCTGGGGAACAGAGTAAGACTCTGTCTTAAAAAAAAGGAAATGCTATTTCATGCTATGTTCTTGAAATGTGCTACCCTGAAGGTTACTTTTGAATTTTATTTATACCCAGATTCAAATCTTAGCTATCTAGACCCCTCAGAAAATGAATTATTTGAGAGAATAGAGCATGAAGCCTAGGTGAAGGGTGACAACTTCGGTTCTGGCATCTCTACATTTTAAACTAGGTTTTAGTGTCTTATGAAAACATTCTACATATTTCCTTGTGGCGTGACACCAATCAACAAAAACAAAACAGAACAAAGAACAAACAAATGAACATAAACAATATGAAACGCCCTGTAAGCCCATCATGTACTAATTCACATTAAGAAATGCTGTTGTCATCCCGATCAAAATGCTCACAACAGCATCACTGGGAGACTCTCGTCTGAGGCAGGCCGACATCAGAAACCACACCACCAGTGATGAAGAGCACAGGATCAAAACAAGGGGAGCAAGCTGCCTGAATCCAAGGTTTACTGTGTCATGGGTTATTAATAGGGACTCTCTGAAAAAAAGTGTTCCATTGTCCCATAAGCTTGGAAAATAACCAAACAAGTTTCTTTTTATGTGGAACCTTTCAGAAGGCCCAATAAGCAGATGTGCAGCTGTATCTCTAGGGGCTGGGCAAGTCATATGACCCTTCTAAGCCTCAGTTTCCTCATCTGTAAAATGCAGGTAATGAGACTTGAAATTCACCAGTATGCTGAAGCTGGTGCAGGTAGAAAAAGAACTGCTGACTTGTCTTCCGAAGCCGTCTTCCCAACCCAAATGATCCCCTGTGGCAGATTAAAGATGGCTGCAAATTCTTTGAGTCTTGCATCTGGGTTGGCTTGTGACTGCTTTCATCGATAGAGTCACTGTGCCAGTGCCAGGTCTCACCCTTAAGAACGCTGAATGGTTCTGTCTTCGGCTCCTGGAACCCTGAGTGTCCATGTAAGAAATTCAACTACCCTCCTGGAGCATCAAGATGGGCAGGCTAAGGAGTCCAGGTGAGCCCAGCCTTCTAACCATTCCATCAAAATACCAGGTATGTAAGAAAACTTGTCTTGGATCCTCTGGCCACATTCACTGCGAAATCCCCCTCTATACTACACAGAGCAGAAGAGGCATCTGGCCAAGCCCTTTTGGGATTCCCAATTCACAAAATCATGAGACATATTAGAATGGGTGTTGCTTTCAGTCACTAAAATAGGGGAAATTTTTTTACACCACAACAGATGACCAGAACCCAGCCCTGCAGGCATTGGATGCATACAGATGACAGAGTTTTGCAGATGAAGAAATTGAAGCAACAAATTAAAGCTCAAGTGACAGAGAAAGGATTTGAACCCAGGCAGCTCTGCAACAGAGGGCATGCTTTCAATTGCCTCCCTATTCCTTCTCTCATCTGGCCTGAGGATCAGGTCCAATCTAAGTCAGTGATATATCCCAGTAAGTTATCTTCATGGCCTGTTCAATAGTAGAGCTACTGAATGTAGAAATATACTAGACTGTATTATAGGAGCTAAACACTTAAAAAATGTATTTGCTTTTGGTTCATCAGAAGCTGAGAGAGAGCATTTAGCACCATAAATAGTATCACTGATACTAACAGAAATTAGCTACTTATTCAGTCTACAAGTTCCCTAATGATTATCAATTTATTAGGAAAGTAACTTGAACAGTCTGATGCAGTTCCACATATCAGATAATGGCTAATACATGAGTCTCATTTAGTTAGTAATAGCCACATCAACAAGAAATCACAAAAACAATTTTGAAAAACCAACAAATGATTTAGAAATAGTGGCTGGGCACAGTGGCTCATGCCTGTAATCCCAGCACTTTGGGAGGCCAAGGCAGCTGGATCACCTGAGGTCAGAAGTTCGAGACCAGCCTGGCCAAAGTTGTGAAACCCTCTCTCTACTAAAAATGCAAAAATTAGCTGGGTGTGGTGGTAGGCACCCGTAATCCCAGCTCTTCAGGAGGCTGAGGTAGGAGAATTGCTTCAACCCAGGAGATGGAGGGTGCAGTAAGCCGAGACTGCACCACTGCACTCCAACCTGGGTGATAAAGTGAGACTCTGCCTCAAAAAAAAAAAAAAAAAAAAAAAAAAAACAGAAATGATAAGAATAGGTTGGACATGGTGGCTCACGCCTATAATCCCAGAACTTTGGGAGGCTGAGGTGGGCAGATCACCTGAGGTCAGGAGTTCGAGACCAGCCTGGTCAAACCCTCTCTCTACTAAAAATACAAAAATTGGTCAGGCCTAGTGGTGTGCTCCTGTAATCCAAGTTACTTGGGAGACTAAGGCAGGAGAATTGCTTGAACCCAGGAGGTGGAGGTTGTAGGGAGCTGAGATGGTCCCACTGCACTCCAGCCTGGATGACAGAGCAAGACTCCATCTCAAAAAAAGAAAAAGAAAAAAGAAATTATAAGAATAAACTACCAGGCAAGATGGCTCATGCCTGCAACCCCAGCACTTTGGGAGGCTGGGGCAGGAGAATCGCTTTAACCTGGGAGGCAGAGGTTGCGGTGAGCCAAGATCATGCCACTTTAACTCAGCCTGGACAACAAAAGTGAAACTCTCTCTCAAGGAAAAAAAAAAAGAATAAATTGACAATTTATGCTATCTCTTACACTTACAAGGTAGTCTAAGAACAAAGAAATAAAAATATAAACTGCATGGTTATTTTATTTAGAGAATAAATTTACCTAAATTAGAATTTTAAAATGTATATATAAATTATATATATAAATTTATATCCACTTCTTTTAGTGTACTAACCATCTTATTTAGAGAATACATTTTAATCTAAATTAGAATTTAAAAATTTATATATATTTATATAAAAATATATAATTTTACATCCATTTCTTTTCCTGCACTAGTCATTCAATATTTTGAATATTATTCCTGTGGATAAAAGTACCTATCTCATAGGAGAATTTTAAGAGTCAAATATAATTATGTGCCCAGCACCAAGTAAATGCTCAGTAATTATCAACTGTGATTACTACTATTATTTTGTAATTATTATAGGCTATCCCAAAGTGACTTGACTCTGGAAATCTTTTTCTATTCCTTCATTCATTTTTACAGAACATCTTATGGAATTCATGTTCTCTGGGAGAGGCTGGCACGGGGGCATCAGGCTGGGATAGCCCAATACACTGGCACCAGGAGACACACACAGCCATTGCACCACTTCCTTTATTATGTCACGGTGCAGGATGCAGCTGCAATTCTGGCTGCTTGAGAGCACTGAATTCAGCAAAGTTGAGGGGACAGAAACAAACGCTGGGAACGTAAGATGTCCCTTAGACACTGTTGCCCCCGGGAGACTTTTAGTAATTGTTCAGAGATCCAATGCCTGGGGCCCCTGGATGATGGGTTCCCTTCTCTGCCCAACAATGTCCTCTATTCACTGATGACCAGGATGCGTTTACATCTCAGCCTAGTATGGACAGAGTATAGCACACTCACTTTTTGGTGTTCCTAGAGCCCATAGTCCAGTACTGAGACAGAACATTCTTTTCCTGAGGTAGTAGCTTCTTTGCCTGAAAGAATGTATGGTGCTCAACACAGGATTTCCACAAGTTTTTGCAAGATCGGTAATTCAGCATGTTGAAGGCCACGATATGTTCCCTGGATTCAGCCTGGGAGGAAAAACAGTCAATATTTCACCCACACAGAAATAGGAGCAAGGACTTGCAAGCATTTAGCCCACATTGGTGAAATGAGGTAAGAGGCAACAGACAGCAGAAAACTGGTTTCAAAATGACTTGGCCCCAAACCAGTGTTACCGGAATATTCAAGAGCATGATTTGTTAACTGTCTTTATGAACATGGTAATAGAGATGACCAGAATCTATTCTTTATCATCATCTGTGGTCCTTCACGAATGCTTTGATTTCAAATCTGTTTACATTTCTAGGCTGGATATATTTGGAGCAACCAGATAAAAACTGTCTGATAGATTCCTTTTAAATTTTAGCTCTGGGAACATCTCTCTCCTGAAGAAATACTCTTTCATCTATCAGACAACAGCAAGTTTATAACCTTTGGGTTTTTCTCTACTTGCTTTCCACAAAGCACAGAATTGAATCCAGTGCTCATATATAATAATAATTTTAATCATTTGCTTTGCCTGCATTCTGCATGAGTTTAGGTTTTCTGTTTTCATGTTAAATTGCCATCTTATGTTTTTTTTTTTTTTTTTTTTTTTTTTGACCATCTTGAATCTTGTACTGAGTGGTCAGGTGATCCAGATTCCAGTCCTAGCTGCTCTGACCTTTTGTGTCCTTATTTCTAAGAGTTCACTGCTCTGTGAGGCCATTTTAAGCACACATTAACTTTGAAAAACTGGGAAATGGACACAGTGACAGTAAGCGAAAATCATGCAGCATAAAAAGATGGAGTGTAGTGTTGTGGAAAAAGCTGGTGTCTCAGATTCATAATGATCTGGTTCAAATTCCAGCTTCCCTGACTCACTAGCCATGGGAGCATCAGTTTGCTCATCTCTATGTTCTACTTCTCTGTATGGATGAGCACACAGAGTTAACACATTTGCTATGGATTTTGCTTATGAGATACATATACCTACCAAGTCCATCATGCAGTTTCAACACATCATGGGGGGAGCTGACCTTGAAGACATTCACTGCTACTTTGCGGTGGGCTCTCTGCCAGGTGTTTTGACCAATGCTCTTTTATTTAATCTTCACAATTCCCTAAGAAGTGGGCATTATAGCATTTTTGGAAACAAGGCAACCTGGGCTAGGGGAAGTTAAGTAAGCGGTCTAGCTGGTAAGTGGAAGAGCCAGAATCTGAAACCACTGTCTCTGACTCCAAAGCAAGTTAATCCTCCAACCAGCCAAGCAGAATTATACAGACAATCACTGGATCCTCTAGACCAGGTGTCCCCAGACTTTTTACAGAGGGGGCCAGTTCACTGTCCCTCAGACCGTTGGAGGGCTACCACATACTGTGCTCCTCTCACTGACCACCAATGAAAGAGGTGCCCCTTCCTGAAGTGCAGCGGGGGCCGGATAAATGGCCTCAGGGGGCCACATGCCCTGCAGGTCGTAGTTTGGGGATGCCTGCTCTAGACTCTGGCTCCACAATGGCATGCTCTTTCTTCCCTGTTAAGCACATGGCAAACTGCCTTCAACCCTCAAGGAACTAAAAGCTAAAGTAACTTAAAAACACAAGAACCTGGGCAAAGTGGTGCAGGTTTCTGGTCCCAGTTACTTGGGAGGCTGAGGCAGGAGGATCCCTTGAGCCCAGTTTGGGCAACATAGTGAGATCCTGTCCCTAAACACACACACACACACACACACACACACACACACACACACACACACACACACAAAGCAAGGACAGACATAACTACTCACCTGTTTCTGTCGCTGATGTATAAAGAACTTTTTCCTTTTGAAAGAAATTTTGAGAATGTTCACCCTTCAAAAAATAAAACAAAACACAAAGCACATCAGGGATCAGCCAGGTTGAAGCTGATGCCTCTTAATGCATGTCCTTTATTCCATGATCCCGATGACTGGGGGCTCTTGGCTGCCTAGAGTTTACTTCTCTGTAGAAATGATGGCAGCCCCATTACTGCGGGCTAACACCAAGTAGCTGACTGAAGCTGAGCACCGCATAAGGGCCACTGGATCATGATGTAGCTTTTAAATAACGAGAAACCTGGGCCATGCGCTCTCTTTGCTGTAAGCTGCTTTTGTGGCACTGCAGCTCTGCGTGAGCTGGTATATACATGGGGAAGACAGCTGAGAGCAGCATGGAGCAACTGAAAGAGGAGAGACCTGGCCCGAACCCCAGCTCCATTACTTAACAGCCACGTGTCAGGTATCCTACTTACCATTTGCAAGATAACAGAATTCAGTCACCATTAACTCAGCTTTTTTTATATACTAGACTGCCACTAAGAGCTTTATAAACATGCTCTCAGTGAAGTCCTGCAACAATCCTGAAAAGTACATGTTGTTATACCCAGTTTTCAGATGAGGAAACGGAGGCTCAGAGACATCACCAAAGTGCTCAAAATCGTTGAACTAGAAATTCCTGGAGTCAGGACCTGCACCCTGGTCTCAGCTGACTCTGAAGGCTGCGCTCCTAAGCTCTCCACTATGAAGTCTACCCAACAGTAAAGAAAACACTGCCCTTCTCAGAGAGCTGCCTTGTGAGGATTCAAGCAGATTAGGAATATCAAGTCCTACCTTGCCACATAGTGGACCTGCAATGCTTGTTCCTTTAATTAAAAACATAATTTAAAAAATACATTTACAGTTGACCCTTGATCAACAAAGGTTTGAACTATGTGGGGTCCACTATGTGGGGGATTTTTTTCAACCAAACATGGATGGAAAACACAGCATTTACAGGATGCAAAACCCACATATACAAAGGGCTGGCTTTTCACATACATGAGTTCTGCAGAGCCAAGGGTGTGACAAGTCTGTGTAGATTCTGGTAACTACAAGTGGTCTTGGAACCAATCCCACAAGTACACCAAGGGTCGACTATCATTCATTTATGCAAAATTTCTGTAATGTATACAAAGGGCACATATTGTCCTGCTGGAATCTTTACTTCTGAGATACTTTGGGGAAATGAAGGCATTTTACTATTCTCTAGGATCATATGAAGACCTTGGTAGAGCATTCTAGAATGGAGAGGCTGCGTAGGTAACATGAAAGTTGAACTACTCATGGGCCATTTCCCCAGCTGGAACAGCAATATACCTCTATTACATATTAAATATTATCTAATGCACATCTATTTTCAACAATCTGTTGGTAGATGTAACTGTGAAGTAAATTTTTTGGGGTGACTACAGGTTAATAGTCTAAGGATGGGAAGGGTGTTTGGGCTCATCCCTTTAGGAGATACTCTTTCTAGTGTGTGTTACTGCTCTGACATCTCCCTGAAGTCTGGGAAGTCTCCTCACGATTCTCCTGTGCCAATTGGCAGATGCAAAAATTCCTGTTCTGCAGAACAAGTCGGGAGAACCAACTCCCCTTTTGGGTTCTTTTTTTGTGGGGGAAGGAGTCTCGCTCAGTCACCCAGACTGGAGTGCAATGGCGCAATCTCGGTTCACTGCAACTTCTGCCTCTGGAGTTCAGGTGATTCTTCTGCCTCAGCCTCCTGTGTAGCTGGGACTACAGGCGTCTGCCACCTTGGCCAGCTAGGTTTTTTGTATTTTAGTAGAGATGGGGTTTCACCATGTTGGGCAGCAGGCTGGTCTCAAACTCCTGACCTTAGATGATCCTCCTGCCTCAGCCTCCAAAAGTACTGGGATTACAGGTATGAGCCACCACACTGGCTGAGTTCTTATCTTGCCTTGTTTGGCCCACAAGAATCTGTGGACCTCTTACTTCCCCTACCCCTGGCTTCATATACAGGTCCTTCATAGAAGGACCTGGCAGGCCTCCTATGGTTCCTAGGGTTCCAGCTCAGCATCCCTTTCCCATTCTGACCCCAATTTCCCCACTTGAATAATTATTTATAATCAATTATTCAAGTGGGAATATCAGCAAATCTGATTATGCACAGACATGAATCTGTCGTTTCCACACTTGGGACCTCATGGGGGCTCCCTATTGCCCTTCATTCATTCATAAGAAAAAAAAAAAACAAAACGCTGAGAGCCTAGGATGTACAAAGTCCTATGCCAGGCTTATAATCCAGTGAGGGAGATAGGTACCACATAAATAATGATGGGTGTAAGTAAATCACTGTAACTGTGAGCACTGCATGCAGGAAAGCCTAGCGCTTCATAAGAGCACTAAGAACTGAGCCTATAGGCTCCTATGGCCTGTGAGGCCCTCCATGATCAGGCCCCTCTCCTGCAGCTCCCCACGCCCACGGCCAGCTCCAGCCTGGCCTGCCCCACTCCTCCTGACTCACTAGCTGGGTTCTCTCTCATCTCTGGACCTACACACCCTGCCCCTTCTCTCTAGAATTTTCCTTGGGCCAAAGCTCAGCTGGTGTTCAGATCCTTCCCCTGTAGGCTTAGGGCCTTTCTTATGTTCTGCCCCTCCTGGGCACTTGCCCATGCACCTCCCTTGTCACCCTGGGAGTCTCTGAGGTTTGCACTGGAGGCAGAAGCCAGCAGGAGCCAGCTTGATGTTGAAGGGTGAGGGAGGCTTCGGCAGATCTGCGGGTGAGCCCTGGGGTTGAAGAGTCCCTGCAGGCTCTACCGAAAAGGCTTCTGTTCACAAACCTGCTTCTCCTGATCAAGACCCCACTTATCTCCTACAGTGACCTTGTGGGACCCACAGCTTCTTCACAATGTGAGGGTCCATCCCTTGTCTGTGGGCCCTTAGGAATTTCAGCCACAGTTAAGCTGGACCCAGGGGGCTTTAGGCCTGTGACACCTGGAGGAAGCCCCTAACATCTGGAGGGGCTGGGTATGGAAAAATGAGCCCTGGGCCCATTTGCCCTCTGCTTAGCCTGATCTTAGTCCTGAGTGGGCCAGATAGCTGCCCGGGCACAGCCCGCCAAGCAAGCTGGGGTTTCCTGCTTCCTCTGATGGGCTTCTAACAGAGACGAGGTGAAAGAAAGATGGAGAGAAGATCCTGCTATCTGTGACACTGATTTTAGTGTCAAATTGAACAGGGCTGTCACATTTTTTGGTTTTGCAAAATAGGTATATTTAAACTTAACTGAGTTTTTACATTTATATTGAAACTAAGCGTCTGTAAGTATGTATCCTGCTTAAGCTTTTTCCTACAAACATCATTTTTAGTGTTGAAACAAAAGTATATATCTCTGGAGCTAGACTCTGATGTGAGTTGCAACTACTCTTGTGACCCTGGACAGGATCTTACTTAACTTCTTTGTACTTCTGTTTCCGCTTCTGTAAAACTGGGGATAATAACCTATATAGTGCCTATTTTGAGTTTAAAGGAGATAAATCAAAGAAAATATACAGTAACAGGACGTGGACACAGTAAGCATGTAATAATAATTACAGCTATTAATAATAATGTTGTTATATATTATATAATTATATATTTATATGTAATATGTAATTATTCTAATATTAAATATAATAAGAGTATATAACAATAGAGTATATTATTATCTCATTGTTAATTTCATACATATTATTATGTAATACTCCATAATTTTAAGTTACTTACAGGTTTTTTTCTCATTATAAATAATGCTGTGATAAACATCTTTGGGTTTCAGGTAATGAAATTCTATGTTCCCAAGTTGGGGAGCAGATTTAGACGTCAAAGGTCAAACTCTGTGTGGCACATACCTGGCACCAAATCTTCACTTATCCCCATTCTCTAACTCCCTTCCTTGCTGCCACTGTTTTGCCAAAACTCCATGTTTTTTCCCCGCGTGTCCTTTTCCATCTGCATCTCGCGCCGTCTGTGGCACTCACTCTCCTCTACCTTCCTGGCGCTGTGTGCTACCTCTATTCTGTGCACCATCCCGTTATCATTATGTAGATGGCATTATGTTGGTGGTGTTTGCCCCAAGAAAGCTCCCTGGTGCCTGGCACATTAAACTCAAATTTCTCTTCAAAATTCAGTTCTACTCATGGGTAATGAGGGACAGGCTGGCCTACAGGTCTCTTCCCACCAGGCCCGTGAGCTCAGAGGGCAAGCACTCAGTTGCACGTGTCTTTAGGTCTCTTTAGAGTTTAGAACAGAGCTGGACATTTGGTAAAGGTTCAGTTAATAACTGAAGAACAGAACTGAAACTGGTTCCTGCCCAGAGAAAGCTCTTCTTTGAATTCTGACCAATGCACCGCCCAGGAAAAATTTCTTAATTCCAAGGCTTGCCTTGTGTCATTGTATCTACCGGGTTTCCAAAGTCTCCCAAACCACAGGGTGAGCTGGGGGAGGGAAATGCTAATGAGAACCAAACTCTAATTTTCCCAAGTACTAAATCTGGATCAATTTAGAGGTCAGAGGTTAAAACTTGGGGGAAAATCTCTATCCCATCTTTAGAAATAAACACTTAGAATGGGAGGTAACATTACTTTTGTTCGGCATATTTTTAAAGCATGATTCAGAAAATAATTAGAACTGTTTGCACTTACCAAGGATAGAAACTTGTGCAAATGTATTTTCGGTACACAGCAATGCCCGCGGAAGCGATTCCAATCATCAGGTCTAAATTGTGCAGATCCTGTGAAAAGGAAGATCTCAGATCCACAGCACGTTACAGTCGAGCTTATGCCCTCTGACGACTTTAAAGCACCCTCGCTGTTATAAACAGTAACATGCATAGGCTCCAAAGGGGAAAATGTTACTGAAAACAAGCAAAAAGCCCCATTTAACAGATACTTAAGACCCAAGTACTAAGCACCAAATTCTTCTAAAGTGAACACAGCCTGTCAGGCAACATGTGGGTGTCACTGGTCTAGAACAAGTTAACAAATAAGCCCACTCATTCCATGGAATCATTTAAATGAATACTCAAGCTTTAAATTTTCAACAATCAGCACTAAATCAGAAAGGCCTCACCCCTTTGCAGAGCTTTTCACAAATCTCAATTTCCATTACTGTAAACGCTTTAGCTATTATGAAATGATGATGAAAATGTGTTTAAGTGTAGAACTGCTGACTCTAAATCTACTTAAGAAATGTTGGCTGGGTAAGGTGGCTCATGCCTATAATTCCAGCACTTTACAAAGCCAAGCAGGGTGGATCCCTCGAGCCAAGGAGTTTGAAACTAACCTGGGCAACACAGTGAAATCCTGTCTCTACAAAAAAATACAAAAAGTAGCTGGGTTTGGTAGCACACACCGGTAATCCCAGCTACTCAGGAGGCTGAGGTGGGAGGACTGCTTGAGCCTGAAAAGTGGAGGCTGCAGTGAGCCGTGATTGTGCCACCATGCTCCAGACTAGGCAAGAGAGGGAGACCCTGTTTATAAAAAAAAAAAAAAAAAAAAAAAAAAAAGGTTGCTTCTAAATCCAATGTATCCGACATTGACACGAGCCTAAGTGCTGGGCATTGCTGTGGACAATGAAGATACAGAAGACACAGCCACTACAATCTGTTTTAAATCTGTTTGAAATCAAGGTGAGTACAAATAAAACTTAACAATAAAACAGTTCCTCCTCTTGAGTCATTTACCTTCCTGTTTTCACAATCAGATACTTGGTTTATGTTTGTTTGGTTTTCCTCTGAGAGACAGGGTCTTGCTTTGATGCCCAGGCTGGAGTGCAGTGGTGCAAACATGGCTCACTGCAGCCTCAACCTCCTGGGCTCAAGTGATCCTACTGCTTCAGCTTCCCAAGTAGCTGGGACTATAGGCATGTGCCACCATGCCCAGCTAATTTTTTTGTAGAGCTAGGGTCACACTATGTTGCCTAGGCCGGTCTTGAGTTCCTGGGCTTGAGGAATCCTCCTGCCTTGACATCCCAAAGTGCTGGGATTAAAGGTGTGAGCCACTGTGCCTGGCTCAGATACACATAATTATAAAGAAGGGGCATGGTTTAAGTCAGTTACAACTGAGTGTGAAACTTCACTCTGGCACCTACTAGCTGTATAATTTTGGGACCCCGAGACTCGGTTTTTCTTCTTGTGCAATAAAGATGATAGAAACCACCTCAAAGGGTTTTTATCAGGCTGAAAAGAGAGAAGATAAAAACCTAGAAGGGGGCTTGGCCTACGGAGTTTGTAGAAGAGAGAGGCACGTGAAAGGCATAAGAAACGTCCATTTCCCCTTTGATGTGGGGCAAATCGTTTGTGAATCGCAAAGTGAACATGGAGTTAGAGAAACGGGACAAACAACACAGTGCTGATACGGTGGAAAGTCCAGAAAGTATTCACTATCAGTACCCAACAGAAATCACACGCTTACAACAAAACCGAATTAGCTCGATGAAGGGTAGAAGTGCATTTAAACGTGATACTCAAAGTCACAATAGAGGGAGTATAAAGCAGGTGTGACAGAACAAATTAGCAAAGGAAATAAAAATTGAGTGTACAAAGAAATAAATGAATGGTTTGGGCGAACCAAAGAGCAGGTCTCAAATCTCCTATTCCTGTGGTCTTTCAGTATGCACCTTAATCCTTGCAGCACAGTCACTGCTCACTGAATTCCCAGGCCCAACCCCCATTCACCGGCTCCTCTGCAGAAGGCAGAGCTTGGTGACTAGTTCTGTCCCCTGTGCTCTGAGCAGGAGGAATGTATGTCTCTTTGGGGCTGAAGCATTTAAGAGCTGGTGTGTAACCCTGTAGCTTCCTGTTCCCTTGTGACAAACATGGAGGCCACACGGGAAGACGGCCATGACACGGAAGCAGCCAGGACTGCTGAGTTATTGCAGTGGCCAGGGGGACTGCCCTGGAAGATTCCTGAATTCAATGTAAACGTTCAATTACTGAAAGATAAACCTTGTGATATGAAGCTATGGAGATTCAAGGGTTGTTAGTTCATGTAGGTCAGCCTACTATGACCAAAACCCTCTGGTACCTTGGGGGTCTTAGCCAGGCAGGTATTATCTGGCCTCAGAGCCCTTGAGGGTCATTTCACTGACAGTTCTTGGGGTGGGAGAGCACAGCTCAACTCAGGCAGATATAAAGTCCTGCTTCACCACTGCTTAAAGTTCTCCATAACATTCTATCTAAGATAAAGTATTATTTGCAAATGAAATAAAAATGAACAGTGAAGTCCCAAAGCTATTATTTTGTAAGATCTAATACCTTTTTCCTTCCTTATTACCTATATCACAACTTGCCTACCTCACAGGATTGAAAAGGGACCGAAGTGAAGCCAATAAATGACAGTGTTTCTATAAACTATGAAAATACATAGGTTTAAAATTTGAGTATTTACTCAATCTCCATGAGCCTCAGTTTCCTTATCTATAAAACAGGGATAACTAGAATGTTGATTTCACAAGGTTTCTATGATCCCAAGATGAGACCTTATGGTCTCATATGAAAGCATCTGGATAAAGGCTAGTTAATAGTAGGTACTCAATTAATATTTGCTTCCTTTTGGATATGATGAGGGTCAATCACAGACAGAAAACGTATGTCATTGCTGAAAGGTCAGATACTAATTAGACAGTGTGGGGTCATGTGCTAAAGCTACAACTTGTGTGCTGTGTGACCTTGTTTAAGTCCCTGAGTACCAGTTTCTCCATATGTAAAATGGGTTCATGATAATATACAGAACTCACGGTATCACTGCAGGAAATAATCCACTGGTGCATAGAAATTGCTCGGCAGATGACGGATGTTAGTAAATCTGATTAAAATAGCCATGACTAGTTTAAAATATTTATTGATTTTCTCAATCAAACGACCGTAATCTTTTAAAAAACTATCATATTTGAGTAACTAGCTTTAATTTGAGCAGCACTTGATATTAAGTACTTGAAATCTTGGTTCCTCAAACAGTCACTAGACAAATGAATTTAAACCTATTTTTTTTTTGTCTTTTAAAACCATAATATACAATGGTCTTACAAAAATTACCAGTTTCTAGTCCCCTGAACCCTCAAAAGGAAAAAAGTCTTCAAGTATAAAAGCGAACATTAAAAAAAGCAATTGGACAACTGACAAAAAATTCAGTATGACTTAATAAACCTTCCAAGTATCTTTTTGAAAGTCCTGTTATAATGAAATAGTTTCATCAAAGAAGTTTTCAAACTCTCAGAGATTAAAATAAAATCATAACGTCTGATCCAAGAATGACAAGGATACACACCCTACCACCATGCAGTTCTACTCCATAGAAGTCGAGGGTCCGCGCTATGTTGATATAGCAGGATTCTGCTTCTGATTGCTTTAGCCCACTACAGAAAAGACAAAAAGCAGGGTTCAACCAATAAATAGGGAACATTAACTCCGATTTTAAAAAATCTAGAACATTTGATACCATTTCTTTCTGTAAGGTTATGAAATGCCTTATGTTATCAATCTTAAACAATCTAATGCTAAGTTCTACTAAACCAAGTTTTTCTTCTTATCCATTGAATGTGACTCCCTCTAACCCTCTCCTTTTTCAATTAAATAATACTTCCCCTTTAGTGAGCTTTCAGTATTCAGATGGAGAAGACTGTTACCTTTAGAATCTCTGCCCTAATTATTCCAAGTTGCTAATTAGTAGGGAATCTTTAGGTCTCTCTGCCTTTATCCATTCTTTGAGCAGTGGCCTCAAACTTTCAAATGCCACTGGCCTGGTACTATTTTAGGACATTGACTTCTGCCCCGGGAATAATTCTAGGAGAGAGGCTTGGCAGTACCTTCTTAGAAAGGACACTCGGCTGCCTGGCCTTTGTTTTTATGGCTTTCCCAAGAAGAGAGCGGTCCCTTGAGAGCTGGTCTTCTTGGTCAGGGTGGCCTTTATTTGACCTGGTCTGAACAGCTGCTGCTATAGCTTTAAGTAAAATAAGGGGAAGAGGAGCCAGAATTGGGCATATGTGCCAGAGCTGAGGCTTGCAACAAATATGCAGAGGCAACTGCGGAAGGCTGGTGCTCCCCACGTGGACATAGGGCACTTTTCATGAACGGAACCCAGGAGACTGGTCAGCATTTTACATCCGTCTGTCTGTTTAATAAGACCTAAAGGAACAGATTTTTTTTTATTAAATGTGGTAAACTGCTAAGAGGTTTACCTTGGTACAGTCCATTGGTGGGGCAATCAGATTTCAAAATGGGCATTTCCTTCAGGAATTTATTGATTTCAATAACATCTTGAAAAGGACACAGCAGCCATCACCCGAAACACTTACTGGATTTTACACTTTACCGAAATGCTAGTTATGCCAAATATATCTGCTACCGTACCAACTCAAAGGTTCAAAAACCCCTGACATCTTGAAAGAGGATTCATGAACAAAAGAGGTTGCATCAAACACAAAGGGATATGATGTCTGAAAATACCCGACCCAAGTTCCCAAAGTAGGCCATCCCAGCCCGCCTCACCTGTGCTGCTCATGCAGAGATTCAACTTTTGTTAAAAAGTCATCATTCTGATCCGGTATAAAGTGACTGTCAGAAAGATAGCCTGGACGATGTATGGAAGAATTATAGTCTCCAAAATGAGCTATCAAGACAGATAAGGGGAAAGTCAAAATTAGTTTTGCCTATTTAATATGGTCTCTATTTACAAGCATCTACAGCATCACCAGAATAACATTAATTGGAAACGCTCTTTGGTAAGTTCTGTACCACACAAACTGAAGCTTCATGCCAGCTCCAGATTCCACAATTATTTGAGCCTTCACTATGTGCTAAGATACTATCACACATGATCCAACCAAATTCTCATTCTCCCCAAGGACACAGTGGGAGAAAACTGGGAAATGGTGTCTGAACCCAGGCCCTGTTCTAATCCCATACCTCTTCCACACACTGTGGTCAGCACAGCAGTTTGCACTCATGCTCCGGGATGAGAACCCACTGGGAAAAATGCCACGATCCGTATGCCATGCATGGTGCAGGCTTTCTCTACCATACCCCAAGGTTACCGTGACACTGAACCAATCTGCTCTAAAAACTGGGTGTAGGCAGAAGGGAGGCCATGCCGACTTGACCACTCTCTGCATCCTGATCCATCCCCTGGGATTCAGGGAGGTGTGGAAGAAAGGGGACCAGGATGTGCTCAGAGGCCACAAGGACAAGGGGTAGGTGGGAGTAGAGCTGAAGAGTCAGGGTTCGGGCGACAGCAAATTTCCTAGGGAGAAAGACACATTCTAAGGGGAGTTAGAAAATATGAAGAGAGATTCTGGGGCTATCAGGGGAATCACATTAGGGACCTGCAGCTGCAGAGAGAAGAGGAAGGGTGACCTCCAGACTAGCCCCTGGGCCAAATGGTACTGCTCCCTGAGACCCCGACTGTTGTCTGCCAACATGAACTGAATTGCTGATGCCTATGAAGTGATGGGCATTTCTGAGAGTTGTGCAGTGCTCAACCTGTGCAAGTGTCCAAGTACCTCCAGGACTCAAACCATTTGGGTGTCTGCACCATTGAGGAAACTGGGAAAAAGGATGGCACCAGGTGAAGAGCCAAGGACCAGGCTTATGGGACCTGAGGACAACCACTTCCTTTCTCTACAAAGTTTTCCCATTTGTCTAAAAACAGAAGTGAGAAGATAATTTCTAGCTCTCATGGGGCAACTGATCTCGTACTCTATTTTCTTGACAAACAAAACAAAAAAAAGCTTCTATTTCATTTAAAAAAATACATATTAGCCCTAATCTTTCCAATTATTTTACTGAATTTCTTCCTGCAGCTTGCTGCAATGCCAGGAGGCTTCTGTGGACTCTTAATTCAACACCAAAGATTTCCAAATCAAATAACTCCTTCTCTGTTACAAGGACAGAGTATGGGAAAGATACAGTAATACTTTGTGGTCATTCTCAAAAGGGAAGTGGGTAAGCCAGGTGGCTGCTTGGGTGAATTTCTCCAGAAAGTTGAAAGGGCAATGCAGCTGGGCATGGTAGCTCATGCCTGTAATCCCAACTTGGGGAGGCCAAGGTGGGTGGATCACCTGAGGTCAGGGGTTTGAGACCAGCTTAGTCAACGTGGTAAAACACGGTCTCTACTATAAATACAAATTAGCTGGATGTGGTGGTGCACTCCTGTAATCCCAGTTACTTGGAGGTGGAGGCATGAGAATCACTTTAACCCAGAAGGTGGAGGTTGCAGTGAACCAAGATTGTGCCACTGTACTTCAGCCTGGGTGACAGAGCCACACTCCATCTCAAAATGCAAAAAAAAAACAGAAACAAAAAAATAGTAGATGCAAAGGTCATGTCTCACTCAGCTCTGCTCACCTAACTGCCCTCACACCACAGGGCTGCTCTTTGAGATCTGCACCATAATGAAGAAATCTGTTTCCTTCCTACACTGTGCCTTGAGTGCTGGGAGTGGGTCTGACTCACCTTTAGGGCCCAGCATCAGGCATGGCACACAGTAGGTGCTCAGAACTGATCTGTACAGAGGCTGATGCAAAGTTCAATTCTGGAAGGGGAAAAGGGCAGAGAGCCAAGTGACCTACGTATGCAGACTTGGTCTACGTTGGACCACAGGGTGTTAAGGCCAGCCGAATGTGGCCAAGTTGTGGAAAGAAATGTCAAGGTTATATAGCTGGTGAGTTTGTGCAGAGCTAAATATACAACAGTGCATTCGTAGGAAATCATTTAGACGCCCTGACACAGCAGGCCCAATGAGGAAAGTGCTAGAAAGCATTAGAATCACCTTCTTCAAACCCCTCATGTTAAGAGGGAAGAAACTGAGGTCTGGAAAGAAAAAGAGACTAACCCTTAGGACAAGGTCAAGATCAGAACCCAGGTGACCTGAGCCCCAGTTAGTACTCCTACCAGCCGACCAGCCTGCCTTCCAGGCCTATGAGCCACTGTGGGCCATTTGATGACAGCAGGCATGTCCCCAAAGGCCAACCAAATGCTGTAAGTGACTTTCCTGAGCCTCACGGTGGAGTCCTATGAACTTCTACTCGGTTGGTTTCATTAGCTCATGGAGATCCCCCTGGATCCCAATAAGGTTATCCATCATACTAGTTAACAGTTCCAACCCCGGTGTCATTCTGCAAACAAACAGCAAGTTTCTCTCTTTAGGCAATTTGCTGTCAAATGTTCTGAACTTCAAATAGAACCAATGAGCCTCCCTGTCGGGTGGTTTTCACTTTAAATCTTAAGCGGCTACTCTGTGCAAAGCGCAGTGCTAACCACTAGGGGGAAACAAAGTTAAACAGTGATAAACATCTGCAAAACACTAGGTGGTTTCACATCGATTTCAATGACATCATCCCACATGATACTCATGAGGACCCTGTGATATAGGCAATGCTTTTAATCCCCACTAAACAGGTAAGGAAACAGACCCCAAGGGGCCTGCCACTGTTGCTCAGCTGCTAATCTGGAGGTTAGACTCTGATCCTAGTCCCCGAGTACTCTTGCCTACTTGCTACACTATACACTCCAAACTCCTAACTAATCCATTTCCTATTTGTGAGGAAGAAACACATGCAAAAGCTAATTTTAGCAAACAGAAATGGAAGTGCTTATGTGGGAAATACCTTGTCTTTTAAGTTCCATGCTTTCTTCTCATTGATACTATTTTATGTTTTACAGCAAAGAGAGGATATATATCCCAGGTTCCAATGTACAGCACTTCAAGCTGCCCAGTTGTTGTACTGGGAAAGTCTTTTACCTGCTATTCATCACACTCCAACCAGATCTTACAGGTGGTTCTCAGGGGTTATTCCTAGGATGTTTTCCCAGATGCTCTCCCCTCTCCCCAAGCAAGATGAAGCACATTCCTGGTGGCCATGTCCACTGGGAGTATCATCCACATCTGCGTCCCTATAGGCTGCAGACTCCTTGGGGAGAGCAGTGTGTCTTATCTACCTGGGCACCCTGAGGCTGGTGCAGACCTCTATGTGGCAGAGGTCCACAGAACATTCTGGAATAAACATATATTTCCAAAAAACATACTTTATTCTTTGAGCTTCATAAAGCCTTGACAGGCCATTAACAATTTTCCACCATTGTGTATTTTCAGGTACTTTACCAGCAGATCACTTTTGTTGTTGTTGTTGTTGTTGTTGTTTTAAGAGATGGGATTGCTCTGTTGCCCAGGCTGGCGTGCAGTGGCACAATCATGGCTCACGGCAGCCTCTAATTCCTGGGCTCAAGCAATCCTCCCACCAGCCTCTTGAGTAGCTGGGATTACAGGTGCAAACTACTGTCCCTGACTTAATTTTTTATGTAAGGAAAATTTTGGTTAGCTGGTCATAGTGAGGACCTATCATTACATTAGATTACCCTCTTAGAAGAATTTAGCAAAATATATCATAAAATATGGGCATACCTTTTGATACTGTAATTTCATATATAATAATTTTTTTTTTTTTGAGACAGGGTCTCACTCTTGCTCAGTCTGGAGTACAGCGGTGCAATTATGGCTCACTGCAGCCTCAACCTCCAGGGCTCAAACAATCCTCTCACCTCAGCCTCTCTAGTAGCTTGAACTACAGGGGTGTACCACGACACCCAGCTACTTTTTTAGTATTTTGTAGAGAGGGGGTTTCACTGTGTTGCCCAGGCTGGTCTCAAACTCCTGGGCTCAAGCAATCTGCCTGCCTCAGCCTCCCAAAGTGCTGAGATTATAGGTGTCAGCCACCATGGCTGGTGCAAGAAATAATCTTAAAGAAATGTTTGCTATGTAATATATATTTATTGAGGGTGGAGGGATAAAAGCTTATACTCAAAACAGCTTGCCTGATAAGCCATGCTTTTATTAGCATGATAGTAATGTTAATATTTCTACTGAAGCCAGTTTGTACTTTTTTAAGGGCCAATAACTTCTTCAGCCCCCATTCTATCAGTTCTTTGCATAAGGGAACTTGACTACTAAAGCTTAGCATAGATTTTTTTTTTATTTGGTTCTTAAATTTTACTCTAAATAGAATTTACTGTTTACAATAGGCAATTCCTTGACAGCTTTCTTCTGGGCAGACATGAAAATATACTAAGAGTTAACACTTGCTACATACCACGTATGATTCTAATAGCTTTACATACAGTAGCTAATTTCATCCTCACTACAACCCTATGAAGGAAACACTTATTATCCTCATGTGACAGGTAATGAAACTGAGGTCTGGAGAGTCTTAAAGTCAGGCAGGTACAAGTGCACAAGGCCATATTACCTAGGTGATATGGCGCCAGTCTGGTTCTCAATGACTTGGCCAGGCATGGTCCAACAATAAAGATGTTTTAGTTACAGATCACCTTCACATTATTGCTTAATTTGAACCAAGTAGCCATATTGAGAGCTGTATTAAATCACTCGTCATGGCCAACGGAGACACCAGATTTTTTTTTTTTTTTTGAGACAGGGTCTCACTCTGTCACAAAGGCTGGAGTGGCATGGCAATTGCATGATTATGGCTCACTGCAGCCTCAACCTCCGGTGTTCAATATATACTGCCCCTCTCAGTCTCCCTACTAGCTTGGACTATAGGCAACACACCAACACACCTGGCTAATTTTTCTGTTTTTTTGTAGAGATGGGGTTTCACTGTGTTGCCCATGCTGCTCTTGACCTCCTGGGTTTAAGTGATCCTCCTGCCTCAGCCTTAGAAAGTACTAAGACTACAGGTACATGCCACCATGCCAAGCTAGTTATTTTTTTGTAGAGACAGGGTCCTACTATATTACCCAGGCTGGTTTCAAACTCCAGGGTTCAAGTGATCCTCCCATCTTGGCCTCCCAAAGTACCGGGATTACGTGCATGAGCCACCACACTGGGCCAGGGATGCCAGGATTTAAAATGAATGTGCCCATATTGTAGTTAGTGTTCCTGCGTTATAAACCTGAAGCTCAGGCTGTGAACAACAATCCTACTCTGAGATATGGGGTAGCTCAGTCTCCTCAGTTGATTGGACTGGCAGTGACAGTTCACAAGGTCTAGAGATCAATGAGAATACAAGCTGATTGGTGATCATGCCACTTCCCACATGGACGTGACATGGCCAGGCCTGTCCCAGGTATACTGTAGGGAGAAGGGAAGGTTCAAATCCACCCAGGCCCATTCACCTCTTTGAGTTTCCCACTAGAAGAGGAGATGCAGGATGGATGGAGAGACTAACTCTGGGTCTTGTCTTACTTGTGAATAGGGTCAGAGGTGGTCATCTTTGACATCCCTTGCTCTCCAATTCCTGGTTCCATGCAGGTGGGTGGGTAAGCTGCAGGCCCAGCCACCTTGCTCTTTACTTCCCTTATTTCTGTTCTTTCCTGGTAGGGAAGTAGGCAGACCTAGGGCCACCTCAGCAGGCTGCGTCAGCCTTCTCTTGCTATTTTGCCTTTTCTGAGACCAGAGCAGGGTGTGTAGTTCAGCCAGTGCCTGTTCTCAGACCTGACCATCTTGCTACCTTAACTGTCTACCACATAGTAGGTCAACAGGGTAATAGGCCAAGATGGTTTGGGCTTATGGGAAGGTAGAAGATATTTCTTAGGTCTTGAGATGCAAACAGCTCTACCTGAGTACTATGCTGATGAACTGTATTGCCACCACAAAGCTAGTTACTATAAAGTAACATTTCAGTCTCATCTGGCTATATGTTCTTTTCATTGTGCCTACCCAGCTTCTACCTGCATGACTTGGAAGGGAATATACCCTTAATAAATTTTTGCTGATTGAAAGAGCGGATTCCTACTCCAGTTTAAACTAGCCTTAAAGAAAATTCCATCTGGACTTTCTATCCAATATGGTAGCTACTAGCCACGTGCGGTTAGTCCAAATTGAGAGGTACTGTCAGTGTAAAATCCAGACTGGTTTTCAAAGACTTAGGATAAAAAAAGAATGTAAAATATCTTGCTAATAACTTTTTATGTTAAGTTAAAATGCTAATATTTTGAATATATTGCTTTAAATAAAACATAAAAAAATCTGTTTCATTTTACCTTTTTAAAATGAGGGTACTAGAAAATTTAACAGTTACATATATGGCTCACATTATATTTCTGTTGAATAGCACTGATATAGATCAATATATAAGCCATTAGCTATAGTAAAACTCCAAAAAGAAATTCCTAAGATCCCAGCAGTGTTTTAGAGTAGCACCAAGCAAGCAGCAGGGGTGACTTCCAGCAAATTTCTTAACCTAGCTGGGTCTAGGTTTCCACGTGTGTTAAGAGATGACTGATACAAATATTTGTCCCACTGGGATTTGTATGAAGATCAAATCAAATGCCTGAGCAAAGGTTCTAGAAAATGCAATGTGCAACAAATGTCTACCGTCTGATGGGCTCTGTTGGAGAAAATGCCACACCTTTCCCTTTAAACGTCTTCCTTAATCCAACATCTCCACGCTACAGGAGAGGGCTAGTCTGGGAAGAAGCGGGACTATCTGGACAGCCAGAGATATGCTGCCCAGTGCTACCCAGTAGGATTCCTGGGGAAGAGGAATCGGTCAAGCAGGAGGAACCGGTGACTTCCTCCATACACTGATTAGAACAATCTGTCCGCCCAGGAAATGCTCCCTTCATGACTTACATTGTACGGCATAGGATGCTAGAACCACTGCTGAGTTAAGAGGGCAGGTTAACCTATCAGGAGAAAAACATATTAGTAAAGTCACAAGAACCAACAACAGCCTGAAACATTCATAGATCATGGGTAGCACATGTCTTTCTTTGCTTTGATTAACCAATACAAAACAAAAATTGTTACAATTCTGGGAAGAATTTAAAAGCATTTTCCCCAGCAAACCAGTGGGCAGTGGAGAATTGTTAGAAAAATGAATTGTAACAAACACAACTTTATGATGCAAATCAATCTCAAACAGTAAAGGTAAATGTAACACACTAAATATTTTTAAAAATATAAACTTTTCATGTTTAAAATAATACCCATCATAAACACATGAAGCTAAAGGTCTGATGCTGACCAGCGTTTTGGCTGGTTAAGAAGGGTCAGGCTCGTTATCTCCAACATGAACAAAAAGTGAAAAAACTGTACTGTGAGATCAACGGGGAACTTTCGAATCTTTCTAGTAAAGACCTGAGACTCATAATAGGGCTCTCTAACTAAATTCCTGGGTTCTAATGACCCTTTGGTTCTTGATTACCCTCTTTCTAAAATAGTAACATCCTCACAGGAAGGACAAGTAGGAAGTACTTTGAATTTTAAAACCTGTAATTTCTTAATTAACTAATTATGATGACTTAGAATCCCTTATCTATTTACCATCCTGAAGATCCAGAGTTCAGGGATCTGTCTATCTTTCAGTCTTGGTGCCATTCTCTAAAAATAATGATCTTGGGTTGGCCTTGTTCTCCTTAACTCGGTGCTTCCCCTGGTGCCCTGTTTCTGCCAATGACTCCACCTCTGTCTCAGTCATATTTTGAATCTTCTAATTGCTCCCTTTTCTCTTCTGCATTCAACTGCAGACTCCATGGCCCGCCCAGGAGCTCATCCAGCAGACCTGGAGCAGGGGTCACTGCTGGGCAGAACGGGTAAGGGGATGGCAGGAAGGAGGGCTTGCAGGGTGGGGAGATCACTGATAAAAAGAGGAATCCAGCCGGGCGTGGTGGCTCACGCCTGTAATCCCAGCACTTTGGGAGGCCTAGGAGGGCAGATCACGAGGTCAAGAGATCGAGACCATCCTGGCCAACATGGTGAAACCTCATCTCTACTAAAAGTACAAAAATTAGCCAGGCGTGGTGGTGGCATGTGCCTGTGGTCCCAGGTACTTGGGAGGCTGAGGCGGAAGAATTGCTTGAACCCAGGAGGAGGAGGTTGCAGTGAGCCGAGATTGTGCCACTGCACTCCAGCCTGGCAACAGAACGAGACTCCATCTCAAAAAAAAAAAAAAAAAAAAAAAAAGAGGAATCATTAACAGGAACACTGGGATCCACTGGGCGCAGTGGCTCACGCCTGTAATCCCAGCACTTTGGGAGGCCGAGGCGGGTGGATCACGAGGTCAAGAGATCCAGACCATCCTGGTCAACATGGTGAAACCCTGTCTCTACTAAAAATACAAAAAATCAGCTGGGTATGGTGGCGGGTGCTGTAATCCCAGCTACTCAGGAGGCTGAGGCAGGAGAATTGCCCGAACCCAGGAGGCGGAGGCTGAGGTGAGCCGAGATCGCGCCATTGCACTCCAGCCTGGGTAACAAGTGCAAAACTCCGTCTCAAAAGAAAAAAAAAAGCATTCTTCCCAGCAAACCAGTGGGAAGTAGAGAAAACAGTTTCTATGGCAGCTCATGAAGTACCCTAGATGTGAATCACTCCACCTTTCTGATAATGTGGCCCTCCAGGGGGGTTCCGCTTCCTGTCCACTGTGCTGTGTGCTGGTTCCATAGCTGCATAGGAAGACAACTTTCCTATCTGAGGCCATCATTCCTCAAGTGACTCGGCGTTCCTGCTAGGACTTGTAAATGAAATCCCTAAAGTTACAGATGCGGCCCAGGGATCTCACCATCTGTTTCTTCATCTGGAGATCTTGAGAGCCCGTGGGGAGGACAGGCAGAAATAGCATGAGTATCAGCTATTTGCTCTCCTAACAAGATGGGGTTCGATTAAATCTAAGCCATATCCTGGCTGGAGACAGAGCAGGTGATTGGGATTTGGGGAAAAACTTAGAAAAGAGGCTGAGGAGGTTCCCTCTAGATGGAAGAAGTCAGAAAGGAAAACATTTCCAAATAATGGTGTTCCAAATACATACTAGGGAACACCAAAAGCCTTTGTTCTGCTCTTTACTCGGCCACATGTTCCTAGACACATCCCTTCTTCCCCTCTGGGCTTCAGGGTCTCCCCCTGCTGAGTGAAGGGCTTGGATGAGGTCAACCATCTTAGAAAAAAGGAAATGATGACACCTTGAGTGCTGGCTACCAGGGACAGCTCAAATAAGCTGGGACAATTTGACACTTAGGAAAAGTGCTATGTTCCACTGGGCCTGTCGAAAGACCCACAGTTACAAATAGCCTGATCTACATCTGAGAAGCATTTGGCAGCAGAAACCCTCTCCTGAGAGAGGTGGTGAGGACCCGACAGGGACCAGAGATCAAAACCAGGATATGGCCCTCAATAGATTTGCCTTGACTCACATGGAAACAACAAGGGTCATTTTGTTTGGAGAAGAAAAACTGAAGACAACCCATTTCCAGTATTTGCAGTTAGACTAAAAGCTCCTGGGGAGGTAAGGCCCTGGCCTTATTTGGCCAACACAGTTTAGTGCCTGTCTCATAAAACGTGTTTGCAAACTATCTGTGGAAAAGACTAAGGGTGCAGAAGAGGAGGACAGAACGGGTTTCTGCTGCTGCTAAGGACAGCCTGGACCCAGGAGAGGGGTTGGTAATTTCAACCTTGAGTTACCCTAAAATGTAAAAATGCTGCCTCATGAAAGGGTGAGCTCCCCCTCACTGGGGGCGATCAAGCAAAAGCCCGAAGACCTGTTGATTGTGCTAGGGAAGTGATTCATTGCTAACCTTGAATGGGAGGATGAGCTAAGTGATGAGAATTCTGTAATTCTATGAGTGCTCAACAGTGATAAGGCTCTGGAAATCCCTTCCTCAAGGTGTCTCTTGTTTCAAACTTCCCACCTCCTCTCCCCACCTTCTTCACTGCCATGCCCCTGAGTCTCTGGCCTGGATACTACAACAGTTTCCTTGAGGGCTGTCCATTCCCTTCCATCCAGACTGAACCGCCCTGGCCTCTGCCCATCTTCCCTTGTGTACACAGATACTATCTTTGTGGATATGGCTCTTGCCACATCCTTCCTGCCTAAAAGCCTTCAACAGCTCTCTTCTGCCTGCTGGATGTAAGATGCCCGCCTACGTGGGACAAGAACAGCCCTCTCTATTCTCCTGTAAGCTCTCAGCATTCGGTTTCCAAGTGGGACTGTGGGGGGTAGGGTGTCTTCTCACTGCCCAGGGAAATCCACCTCCTCACTTGTCTACCCACCTCAATTCTGGCTCATCCCAGCAATCTACAAAGACTTTTGTAGCTCACACCAGCAGGAACTCCTAAAATCTTACGACTGTGGTCTCCACTGCCATTATTGGTTCTGATTGTTTTCTAATTGCTTCATGGGCTACTTTCTCATTTCCTCAGTAAGACTACATGCTCCCATATGGTACAGCACGCTGGTAGTCTCTGAAGACCCTCCTGTCCAGGGCTAAACTCACAGGGGTTGGGGGCGGGGTGGAGAGATTGGGAATATGCTGTGCTGTTCCCACTGGCTTACCTGCTGCAGTTTCTTCCCTAAGTCAAGAAAAGACTAAGGATTTGGAGGAGGTAGCTCAGGGACCACTAGCTTGGAATTTCCTCTCCCTTCCAGCTACTGAGATGGTCTTGGTAACATAAGAAGCACTGAATCACAGGCAGATGAGCAAAAAGCTTCCCAGAGAGAAAATGAGTCATCCGGAGGTGCTAAGGGGTTCAGCAGTGGACCTAAATTAGGCTGGATCTGCCTTCCTGAATGAAGCCCATTGTGCATTCTGGGTCCTCTCCTCCCTTTAAAATTTCTCAGGTCTTTACCAGAAAGATAGCTGCATCCTTTGTAACAAAACCAAAATAACATGAAACAAAGTTGATCAATCCTTAGCCTCTCTCAGCCGTGACTGAGGTATAATAAAAACAGATGTCCAAAGCCTAATGCTGCACAGGATGCTTTCCACATCCACTCCTCCTTTAGATTTGATATTGTTACCAGAAATGAATGCTCATTAGATTAAAACCAGGAATTTTGCTAGTCTAATAGGAAAAGAAAAATATAAAATTCTCATTACCTTCCTTCACAAATATCCATCTTCAATTGTAGGAAATACAAGTGCCTATGAAATAATTGTTTTCATTAATTCATACTCAAACTGAAATAATAAAAAAAAAGTTTGATGAGTCAAAGACAAGAGCTGTACATGCTAAAGATACATAAAAATACAGTTTTGGTCCAAGGTATCAGGTGCTCTCTTACGTTCTGCAAAGCTGCCCTGTCATTACTGACAGCTCCTGTTGGTGCCCTGTGTCTCGATTGGTGGGGGCAATTTTCTGCCAGTGCAGGCTGTCCTACGGAGGGCTGAGCAGGGATGAATGAGGTGGAAACAGCCCATTAAAGATGGGCTGGTGCTGTGGGTTCTGCTGTCAGTGAGTACCCCTGCCCTTGAGGACCAGAACCCACAGGTTCTCTGCACAGGTGGTGCCCACACACTGGCAGGGCCACTGTTAACACCATGCTGGCATCTGTCCACCCAAGCTCTCCCTGCATGAAGTTGCTAAAAGGAGGGGAGTCTGTGAAGACACCTCCTTGGCTGGGGTGCAGACCCCCAGCTGAGCATTTTCCTGTGTCCCAGGAACTGTGGGTACTTGAGCAAAAGCATAAACATCAGTGAACTCGAAGCTGCCAGGACCTCCAAACTGAATTCTGCACTCATCTCTGCGCAACCAGTAAATGTAACTTCTGAACTCCAGACCTGTTTTGCGGGCAAGTCGTGGAAGGCCCCTCAGCCTGTGACTTTGCTCCTCTGCCTGGGGAGTGGGGAAAGGAGGCCGAAGGCAGCACTGTGCAGGCCAGGAAGCGCCTGGGGGAGACTTCTATTTAGGGATGTGGCATACATGTGACACTCGGCCACTAGCTCCCACGCTTTTAAAAAACACAGATTCAAATGGGATAGACATTCCAGTGTCTGGCCAAGATGACAAAAGGGGAATCTCCTGAAATCTAATATAGACAGGGCAGAAGTGAACAGGGGCAGGAGAGAAATAATTTTAACAATTTAAACAAATCAGTTTCATTATTCCTTTAAATTTATAAGGTCAAAGAACTGGCTTTATGAGATGGGAATGCTTCAAACAGTATTATGACCTCCTATTTGCCCAGTTCTGGGCTGTGTACATGGTCCTAAGTTGTAACTTTCCCTCTTATTTCAGCCTCATAACTCTGTAAGGTAGGTACCACTATCTCCATTTTTATAGATGACAAAATCAAAGCTCAGATAGGATATGTGAGGGCAGCTGTGTCTTATTTTAACCTGGATGATCATGCTATTAAAAAAAAAAACTCACTATGCTACAAATCTCTTATATGTTTAATGGCTAAAAAGCTTAGGATCCATGTCATAACTCTGACATTATTGCTTTGATTATAATTAATTACTCACAATGTATTGAACACCCTAGCCTTGAGAGACAATACAACATACATTTGCTGATTCACACCTATTTGGTATTGGAATCACCATCTTTTCTACCTAGGATAACATCATCAGTTCTTTCTAGTTTGTTTCTATGTTTATCCAAGCTGACATTCAACCAGAATTAAGTGTTCTCTCCTCCTACAATGCTACTGAGAGGAAAAAGAGAAGGGAAAGTTATAGATAATCCAGTGGCGAATCTGGGCTTTCATTGACAAGCTCAGCTAATCAGTATGTCTTCCTAGGGATATAATTGAGAAGATAAACGAGCTCACCACTCACTAAATGCTGCCTTGTCATCTACTGAACAGTTTCTGAGTCAACCGCATGGCATCATCATACACAAAGAAACTAGAATAGTGGAACACAACCCAAGCTTAGGAGACGTCCTAGGAATCTTGAAGGAGCCTAATTTTGAGATTGCCAGTTTATAAAATTCTGCTTAGAATGATCTAAATTTATCAGAAACAGCAGTTGTGGAGGCTCACATAAAGAAGATATTTATTTAACAATTAGAATACAGGATAATTCTTTAGGAGAGATGCTTGGGATGCCTAACTTCAGAAATGTTAACGACCTCTCTCGCATGTACCACACCAATGACTTCAATTTCAGAAAAAAGCAATGAAAGTCTCTCCGCCTAGATCCTTGACAAACAAACAAAAACCAACAGATACCACCTCTCTATATACCTTCTTTGACTCTTGAGAGCTAAAATTTCCTTCAGAGGGAATTTCGTTAAACAGGAACTACATAGCTGGGATAAGATACTATGTGCCAGGAAGATAAGTAAAATCTTTCATTTTATATATATATTTTAAAGCATGTGAATTAATGGTAGAAGCCTGGTCCAGGACACAATGATTTGGCTGCCATGGTGGGCATGGTGGTATGTGCCTATAATCCCAGCTACTCAGGAGACTGAGGGAGGATCCTTTGATTCCACGAGTTTGAAGCCAGTCTGGGCAACATAGTAAGACCCTGTTTCAGAAAAAAAAAAATCTGGCAGTCCTGTTGGGCAACCAGCTCTATAAGAGTTATGGGGTGGCTGCTACAATGGCTCCTACTACATTAAGAGAGATCTCATGCCCAATCCCAGAAGGTGATAGTTACATTCTATTCTGCAATAGGACATCACCCTTCTTAAGATGGAAAGTGGGGTGGGGTGTCAGTTGTGAGCCACTGAATTTTAGGAGAGACACACACACACACACTGCTTATTACTCATTCTGCACTAAAATCTGCCTCTCTGTAGCCTCCACCCACTGGCCGTAATTCTATGACCCTGCACATCCAGTTCCTCTTTTCCCATGACTACTGAAAAGATCTGAAGGCAGCCTTCATTTGTGCCTGAGGCTTCTCTCCATCATGAATGTCCTAAATTTCCACAGATGTCCCTCAGATGACAGGAAGGCTCCGCAGGAAGATTCTGTCAACTCCCAGAGAAGTGAGCTTCTCTTCTACAGGGTATGGAAGAGGATGGCCAATGGCTAGGATAAGGCCCTGGTGATGACCTCCTGGGCTGCGCTGGCCATAGGAATACTCTCCCTCAAGTTCAGCCACTGGAGACCTCTAACATGCCCAGTGGATGCCACAAACCTGGGGCTCTAGTGTTACGGGGAGGAGACAGGACATGGGTGACAATCGCTAGGTGAGGCAGTGCCGTCCACACTTGGGGCTGGAACCTCCCAGCTGGTCGTACAATCAATTCAATGCATCACAGTTGGCACTTTTTCAAGAAATGAAATAAAACAGAATAGAAAACTTCAGAGTACTTGCGACTTTACTATAGTTTTACAAAATGTTTGCTTCAGTAATTTATATATGTGTACTGTATTCTAAAACAGAACATATTTTTACTATGGTGTTGTGATTTTTAAAAAACCCACTGGTTAGAACAAAATATATTTTTGAGAAAAAAATATATTTTTTCTGAAACAAAATATATTTTTACTATGAAACAAAATATATTTTTACTATGGAGTTGTGATTTTTAAAAAACCTACTGGTTAGAACCACACACACGGATGTACACATGTACACACATGTATATACATAATCACACATGTATTATATATAATATACATAAAAGACACATATACATGTATACACACACATATTATTCATGTTATTTTTAACACATCCCTTCAATAGAGCCCTTTTTTTTCAATGGGGTCTCAGTCTATCACTTAGGTTGGAGTGCGTGGTTCAATCATGGCTCACTGTAGCCCTGAACTTCTGGGCCCTAGAGATCCTCCCAGTTAGCCTCCCAAGTCACTGGGACTACGGGCATGCACCACAACACCTGACTACTTTTTTTTATTTTTATTTTTGTAGAGGAAGGATCTCGCTATGTTGCCCAGGCTGGTTTCAAACTCCTGGCCTCAAGTGATCCTCCTGCCTTGGGTTCCTGAAGTGCTGGGAAGCTCACAGGTGTGAGTCACCATGGCTGGCCCACAGCGTGTTATTTAGTACTGGCCTGAGGAAGCCTTGGTAGGGTCATTTCAAACACGTTCTTATAGATTTCATCACCAGCTCTGTGTCTGTCAGCTTAAGAAGTAACCTGCTGGGCTGAGTGCTTCTATCCCATCCCCAGTTTACCAGCATGAAGAGCTGGTACGAGGGAAACTCGGAGGACAGGGCATGCTTCCATGTGGTCACCTGACGTGTCATACCAGACACCTTGGACACTGGCTTAAAATGTAATTAAAAACACAGTCAAATCCCCAATGTCTGCTATAGTAGAGGGAGGAGGTCCACAAAGAAGGCAAAATACAGTAATAGAGTAATATCTGGCCTTTCAACATATTACAAGTTAAAATGTGATCATGTAATTACTACTAAAAAAAATAAACAAGACAGAACTCTGTGTCTGAGTTAATGCTGCTTCCTTGATGATGCCTTTTGGCCATAATGAATGTAGAACAGGATTCAATACTAAGCATCTATTGCTTTTGTTCTGGTGTGATTGCTTCCCTCCCTAAGAAAAATAAATGGATCCATAACAAAAGGGCTTAATGTTTCCACAGGGGAGGGGAAGTTGAGTTTGCTGCAGTCTGTGTTAAAATAGCAACAACTTTCTTCTGCTATACTCTCTTCCTCCATTCCAAATACTCTGTCCTCCACACCCAGAAAAACCCACGTACCAATCCAGGGTAGGGAGAGACACCAAGCCCTGAGGGGTAAACAACTCCTATACAGCCCTCTTTCCCTTATCTGGTTCACATACTTCCTGCACTTGCTGATTCACTGAGAAGACAAGCTGAATCCATCCTGCTCTCCTTTCTACTTCTTGTAAACTGGAGATCTGATAGAAAATTTTTCTAACAAAAGCTTGCCTGGTGGCTCATGCCTGTAATCCCAGCACTTTGGGAGACTGAGGCAGGCAGATCACTTGAGGTCAGGAGTTTGAGACCAGCCTGGCCAACCTGGTGAAACCCTGTCTCTACTAAAAATGCAAAAAAATTAGCCAGGTGTGGTGGTGCATGCCTGTAATCCTAGCTACTTGGGAGGCTGGGATGGGAGGATTGTTTGAACCTGGGAGGCGGAGGTTGCAGTGAGCTGAGATCACACCACTAAACTCCAGCTGGGGCGACAGAGAGAGACTCCGTCTCAAAATAAAAAAAAGAAAAAAAAAAAAAAAAGAAAATTCTTATAACAAGAATGTCTTGTTATCTTCAAGAGCTTCGATTCTAGCTCTTCAGAGACATCATGCTATTTGACCTGTGGATGACTATTTTACAAATTTGTCTTCTACATCCAGTCTACTTTAGTAGAATATGACTTTTTGTCCTTTGATCACAGTGTCTTCAGCAGGCAGGAGAGGCCAGGGCGGTGGAAGGAGAGATAGAAGGTGGCAGATGGGAGAATGTTGGGAATGGCACCAAATCAGGAGATAAGAGAAGCAGGCCCAAGACTGAAAACTAATTCATTGATTAGAATGTCAGTATTGTGCACCCCAGATTTTTACCTGGATCATCATTGTTGGTGCAGTTACACCCAGATGAAGTTATTTGGCCATAGTAATAAAATGAAGAGTACATTTTTAGTGGTTACTCATTTTTATACACTAAATAGAAAACTTTAAAAAAATGTTATTACCTGGTTTGTTCTTGCTGCAGTGTGTTGGGATCAGGTATAAAAAATCTTACTCGAAAATGCAGGGTACAGGGGAAACCTCCTACAACATTTTTCAAAAACAAATTAAATTTTCTCTTTGACAAAGTCAATGTATGTAAGTTGCTTCTCTTCCATAAGTGATGCATTTTTCACTCAATCATAGCTTTTTTCCATTAGAAAAGGGCTAATTTCAAATATGGAGTGCGTTAAATTAGTTGATTGTTTCAGAACTCTCCAAGTCTTCAAAAAGTAAAATATTTATGCAACATCAGCACAGACTGAGTTATCATTGACTTCCTATCACACGGTTATCTTAGGGCTGTGTTTAAACATTGCACTCTGTTATCTGTATTAGAAATTTTAAAAATCCTTAAATCAGCATATTACACAAAGTTTACAAAGAAATAATAGCCTGTGTTTGTGCAGCCATTCATACGGTTCAAGCATTTTCATGTACAGCCCTGCATGTGAACACCACCATGACTATGAATGAGCTAGGCTGCTACTGGTAGCCCATTTTACAGATAAGCTGATGGCTTAGAGAGGTGACTTGCTTTGGTCACACAGCTGGTGACAAAACCAGAATTAGAGTCCCGAGATCTTTGATTCTGCTATACCACATTTCAAAATCATTTTTAAACTAGAAAATATCTCATGCTTTTAATGCAAAGTGTATTAAATTAATATACTAGTAAATCACACAATGAACACACTCAAATATGGTTTTACGCATCAACATCCAGAGTCAATTTGCTTGTGTGGATAAAATTAGTCCATTTCTTCTGATAGATACGGCAACGGGAGAAGATCAGATTGTGTTGCTAAGATCCCAAGATCTTCATGTCAATTTCACCATTATTGCTCAGTAAATATCTGCCGGCCCTATCTAGGCACGAGCACTTTCTTGCTCTCTGCAACTCAAGACCTTCTCACTGGCCTGCTGGATCTCCTCCTCTACCTTAGTTCATCCTGGGCTCCACCCTCCCTGCTCTTTAATGCTTTCTTTCTTCATCTGCAGCGTGTGCTCCAAGAATCTCTATGGGGTTGTGTGCCTGAGTAAACCTGTACCTGTCTCTAGGTACCAGTGGGTGGCGCTATGACTATCAGCACCACAGGGGAGAGCTGTCCTCTAGCTGCCTTGGGATGCTTGTTCACTTCCCCTCCCCCTCTTCTAAAACTTGTCATGTCTGTGCTGCAGGCACAGCCTCTTTATCTTTCTGGCTGTCCTCTATCGTGCTTACTACTATCATAGAATGTCAATTCCTCTGGGCTGTCTGCACACTTGGCTGTGGGCTCCTTGAGGGCAGAGTCCAAATCTGATCTGCACTAGATTCCCAGGGCTTAGCCCAGCACCTTGCCATAGTCTGAGCTCAGGACATGTTCACTGAAAGCACGAGTTAATGAGAAAATGAATGAAACACCTATTCATGCCTTGTGTGGACTCATTCCTGGGGATGTGGATGGGGCAGGTATTTGTCTGCAAGTGGCTCTGTGGCTCCCATGGGTACTTCTGAATGCAGAGGATGCAGCTTATGGAAGAGAACTTTGAGAACCTGGCTCCCTGTGGGGGCAGCAGTGAGATGGGAGCAAAGGCCTCTGTGTCTACTCCTTCCTGCCTGGGTGCTGAGGCAGGGGTGTGTGTGTGTGTTGGGGGGGGATCCAGTATATGAACACCTGTGTGCACAAATCTACCTGCTCTTCTCCACTCTGCCATGTACTGGCCACTTTTTATGTGTTGGGCACCTTGGGGATGCAGAGGTAAAAAGAACAAGGATCCAAACCTCAAGAACTTGGGAGTTCTGAGACGAAACTAAAGGCAAATAACAGAGATGAGGATGAGAGTGCTCAGGGACCCAACACGGGCGATGGTAAATCTAAGGGAATGTCAAGGGAGCCATGGTTTCTAGGAGAGGAAGTGAGATCTGAGCAGCCTTGAAGAAAGGCAGGATTTTGAGAGTGGGAAGTGGGAGGGAAAAGCATTCCCAGCAGATGGAACAGACTGAGGGGAGGCACCAGGAGGCCTGCAGATCAGCTAGCTTTGTCTGGGGCACGAGTGGCATAAAGGGAAAAATGCTGGCAACGTTGGAACATCAGGTTGAAAGCAGATCAGGGCAGAGGGTGGGATATGGTGTGGCCTGATTGGCCAGCCAGCTGGGAGTTAACTGCAGCACTGGGATCTACGCCTGAGAGATAAGTGGTAGTTGGGAGGCCTGAACCTTTTATATTCGTGACACTACCTACCTATGGTACCCACCTATGGTTTTCAGTGAATGCAACTATGCTGTTGGAAAGTATGAGGCGTTTGTGTTTGTCTATCTTTCTGTCTCTCTCTTCCACCCTGGCTCTCATACTGGGCTAAGAAAGGCCACCCTCCTTCCTTTTCCTTCCTTGTATAAAGAAATGTGAGCTCCCTTGCTCTGAGCTGCCTACTCTCACCTTTCCCTTTCTTGCCCACAGCTAGGGAGGATACTAGAGGGTTGATCTGGAAGCATCTCTGCTGACTCAGAAGTCAGACAGGGAGAAGATGGCTCATTCATGACTTCTGGACACCCAGAACTCCAGGTCCCAGATGCCATAGGCACTGATGATAGGGGGAGAGAAACAGGCTGTGATAACTAACGCCTAATGTTCAGTTGAAGTGAAAAGATCACACCAACCTTTTAACTGCTTCCTGATGGGTTTGCTTGATTCCAGCCATCTCTGTTGGACAAGAAAACATAAAATATAAAAGCAAACCGTGAAGGAGTTCAGCACATTTAAAAAAAAAATGGCACTTACAGGAGAGTCCACGGAGTCATCATCATGCTGTAAACCAAAATATTCCTTCTCAGTCACACCCAGGTGGTTGTACACCATATCCAGAAGAACCTGACCAGTGTCTTGTTTCTAGAACAAAAGAAATTATCAAGTGGGAAAAGTCTTAAAATAAATTAATTGGTGGTAAAAACATTTTTACTGTAGGCAAAAGAAGAGTTAAAATATTCAGAAATGCCATGCACATACACTTCCCACCACAAGAAAAGCTTTAATAAATTTGAAGAAGCCACACAGCACATATGGGAGGTAGGGCTAAGAAAAACGACACCAACACAATTTAAGACAATATGAGTTTAATTGTCTAAGATTTCTTCCTTCCTCCTTAGCTGCAATTCCCAAGTGATAATGTCTAAATTGGAAAACTCAGCTCTCATAATCAGAGTAAATTCCCTGCGGCCTCCCGTGGATTATCCACAGTGAAATGCTAACCCCAGGGCGGTTTCTGTTGGCTCCTCACGACACATCTGTGGTTTCTACTCCTAGAGAAGCCACCGAAGTATATGTCCAGGAACGGAAAACTCTCACCTAACCGCATAAAGGATGACAGCTAAAAATACTCAAATGCCATTCAAAATGGCCTCAGAGTGATTTGGCCTGTGCCACCCGGTGGGCTTATCTCCCTCCCTGCTTCCCCTTCCGGTCATCTGAAGTGAGAAGCTGGAGGGCACGTTCAACTACACGTCTCTCCAGAGCAGGACTCGATTGCCTTACCCACTCTATGTTTATGGGGCTGGCATGCTGCCGGAATGGGGACAGGGCTGTAAGAAGCTCCCTTTTCCTGCCCGGGCTGTGGAGGCAGTGGCTGTAACAGAGTGTCAAACGTCGTCAAGGGCTGTGAAACAGTTGAGGCACAGTGGACACCCAAGGGGACCACACAAATGGTCATCTCAACCCGGGGCATAGAGAAAGCAACCCCCAGTCTGGGTTTGGGAGGAGGCCAGGTCCAAGCATCAGCCCTCCCCACCAGGTGCACAAGCTAAAAAGAGGCCTTTGGATCAGATGGCCCGGCACAAAGGCCCATCAGTTGTGTGCTGATGGCAAACAGCATGGAGCATTTGGAAAACTGCAAATTCTACTTTAACAGGTAGACTTCGCAGGAATCCTTTGAACCAAACTATTTAACTAAAAGGACAATATGAGTCAGAAATAGACCATGTATAGAACAGGCCAAGGCAGCTCTTTTTTTGAGTGCCTGAGAGCAAATAATGTATCTGAAAATAGGTCACAGTGACCAGCACTGGAAGAATTAGATAACCATCAGGCCCCTTTTGCAGAGACTTCTTTGGGGCAGCCTCAGATTATCTGGTCTGAAGGGTGGGAACATGAGACACACCTATTTCCTGAACATGCCCCCTTTCCTGCCCAAGAGCGCTTGGACCTCTTGCTTCTTCTAGCCAGGGCACCATCCATCACAAGAGAATAACAACAGGTGGGGAAAGAATGACCCAGTCCACACATTGCACGTTACCAGACACGCCATATGTCAAAGAGCTAGCTGCTCCCCTTGTTGGAATTATTTATATATGATTTTATATTACATTTAATGTATATTAACTACAATTCACTGAACATCTACAAAGGCGCCAGACATTATGCCGAGGCACTTTTCATATATGATCTCTAATCTTTGCAACAATTTGCACAGTGTAGTAGTCATCACCATCTCCCTTGCCAATGAGCAAAGGCACTGAGAGTCTCCGTGCCTTGCACCATCAGACAAGGGACAGTCTGACTGCCTGACTCAGGTCTGTTTGATGCCAAAGCCTCTCTGTTCCCACTACCTCTCCTCCTCTGGAGTGCATAATCCATACATACAGGTATCTATTCTGCATAATTCACCTGATTCTTAAGAGAAATTGAAACATAACAGAAAAAAATGGACATATAAAAAAATTTAAAAATATAATTAAAAAATTGAAATATTTTAAAAAACACATTTATAATAAGAACAATCCTTCTGGCCTGGGCCTGCCCCCAAGAGGTGATCTTGGCTGTACCAGGTCACCTCCAGGACTCACTCCCTGGGCAAAGAATGACTGATATCCAAGTCAGCTTCCGTGACACCTGCTCCAGGTCCCAAGATGGGCTGGGCTAAAGAGTCTGAATGAGACTGTGCAGAAAATTCCTACATATAGAAAGATATAAAGTGAGGTATATTCCAAATTGCAACCAGGCCCTCTAACTTCTCAAGTTCCATGTGACTCAGCTTTGAACCAGGCTGCTGGAAGCTTGGGGTGGCAGCCATGTGATAAGAACAACGATGTTCATCACTAAGAATTTCTGGGTGCTCACTATTCACCAGGCTCTGCTCTAAGACTTTCATTTTTTTTCAGAGACAGGGTCTTGCTCCATTGCCCAGGCTGGAGTGCAGTGGTAAATCATAACTCACTGTAACCTCAAACTCAAGGGATCCTCCTGCTGTGGCCTCCCAAAGTGCTGAGTTTACAGGCATTAACCACGGTACCCAGCCTGTTCTAAGGCTTGAGATGATGCTCACTCAGGGTAGGTACTTGTCTTCTCCCCTTTTCACAGAGCTTCTCCTTCTGCTGGGATTCTCAGACCTTCGCCCTTGGCTTCCTCCTGCCTCCCTGGCCAGTCCTTCTCAGACTCCTTTAGTGCCTGCTCCTCACCTCTCCTACCCTTAGGCACCATTCACAGCTTCTCTCTACTTGCTTCTCAGGGGATCTCCTCCAGTTTCAGCTTGAAATATCATCTTTATCCTGGTGATATCCACATCTGTATCCCCAGCCTGGACCCATCCCCTGACCTCCTGACTATTCTATCTCACACCATTCCTACACTGCTACATAGATGAATAACATACCTCTCCACTGCCACATGCCCACAGCAGAACTGATGACTTCTGCCCTCAGACCTGCTCTTCCCACAGTCTTCCCCATCTCAATAAACTGCAACTCTATATTGCTGCATTGCTCAGGCCAAAAACCTGGGAGTCACCCTGAGGCCGCCTGTTCTTTCCCATTCCAAATCCCATCTATCAGTAAACCCTATTGGCTCTACCTTCAAAGTCCTTCTGGGTTCAGTTTCCTCTTAGCCAGCCCCACAGAGCCACCATGTCCACTGGTCATCATTTCTGCCCTGGAATGCCACGTCAGTCTTTCGGCTCCTCCCTCCTACAGTTGACTGTGGACAGAGCCCCAGTGCTTTCCACCTCATGTAGAAAAAAAAAGCCAGTGCCCTCAGAATGATCTCCAAGGCTCCATGCAATCCTCCACCCACTATCTCTGCCCTCATCTCCTGCTACACTATCCCCTGGCTCATTCCACTACAGACTTCACCGAGTTCTACAAACACAGGGAGCGGGCTCTAGCCTCAGGGCCTTTGCACTGCTGTTCCTTCTCCCTGGGATGTGCTTCCTCCAGACGACCACACAGTTCTTTGATCTCATCAGTGGGGCCTTCTCAGGTCACTTCTATACAATGGTGACCTCACCCTGCCCTGCAACTCTCTCCTTCTTGTTCTACTTTATTTTTCTGCAGAGCGCGTAATACCGCCTGACTCAGCACATACTTTTTACGGCCCATCTTTCCCACTAGGATGTTGGCTTCAAAAAGGCAGGGACTTTGCTCTGTTTTGTGCACTGTTGCCATTTTTTTGTACCTACAACAAAGCTTGGTTCACAGTAAGTGCTCAATAAACATGTGCTGAATGAATATATAGTTATACAGAAACAAACATGATCTTTTCAGGAAGAGGAAATACTGTTTAAGAACCGTTCCAAGACAGACAGACATACATTTTAACAAAGAAGCCAGACATATACTAAACTATTAGTGTACAGCGCCTGGAAGATACATTTGTGACCTTCACGGAACTTGTGTTATCACAAAATTCTATGAAAGATTATGTTAAAAAGGAAATCATATAAGACAAGGTTCTGTAGACCTAAAGTAGTTTCTTGTTAAGGGAAATATTTACGACCTAGCCAAGAGACCCCTAAATCAGTGGTTCTCCAACTCCACAGCACATCGACCACGGCACACTGACCATGGCACATCTAGACAACTCGGGGAGAAATTACAATGCAGATTCTCAGGTCCCACCCCCAGGCGAGCAAGTTTCAAAATACCCAGGCAGGAGAAGGGATTGACATCTATAACACACATTGTAGGAGCTTCTGACATACTTTAAGAAACGTTCACCAAGGCTGAGCAATCCAAAGTGGAGACAATGAGCTAATTAAAAATATTTTTAATTAAAATGGAAGCAGTCTTTAGTAGTTCATAAAAAAATTAAAATGCCTCCATTTTAATTAAAAAATAAGATAAAAACTTAAGCCAGGCATGGTGGCTCATGCCTGCAATCCCAGCACTGCAGGAGGGTGACATGGGAGGATTGCCTGAGCTCAGGCGTTTGACACCAGCCTGGACAAGTTAGTGAGGCTTTGTTTCTACAAAAAAAAAAAAAAAAAAAAAAAAAAAAAATTAGATGGGTGTAGTGGTGCGTGCCTGTAGTCCAAGTTGCTTGGAAGGCTGAAGTGGGAGGATTGCTTGAGCCCAGGTCAAAGCTGCAGTGAGCCGGGATCACACCACTGCACTTCAGCTTGGATGACAGAGAAAGACCTTGTTTTAGGAAAAAAAAAAAAAAAGTTCGGCCGGGCGCAGTGGCTCAAGCCTGTAATCCCAGCACTTTGGGAGGCCGAGGCGGGTGGATCACAAGGTCGAGAGATCGATACCATCCTGGTCAATATGGTGAAAACCCGTCTCTAATAAAAATACAAAAAATTAGCTGGGTATGGTGGCTCGTGCCTGTAATCCCAGCTACTCAGGAGGCTGAGGCAGGAGAATTGCCTGAACCCAGGAGGCGGAGGTTGCGGTGAGCCGAGATGGCGCCATTGCACTCCAGCCTGGGTAACAAGAGCGAAACTCCGTCTCAAAAAAAAAAAAAAAAAAAAAAAAAAAAGTTCTTCGGGTATATTTCAAGTGTTCAATTGCCACATGTGGCTGGGGGACCCCCTATGGGTTAGTGCAGATACAGAACATTTCCAGAATTGCAGAATAGTCTTTTGGACAGTCCTCCTGAGAGGATGTTTATCTCTAAACTGGCTTCTGAAGAAACAGGTCCCAGGTGTATGTTGTAGCCCCCCTAGTTAGACTTTGGAGACACCTCACTAGACAACTGAATTTCCTTGCTGGAGTTTTCACTTCTTACATTTCCCACCTACAAAAAACTGATGCCCTGACACTGGGGAAGGGTTGGAGGCCTGGGCGATTGTGGAAGTGTGTGGAAGAGTAGGGTGGAGCGCTGGGAAACATCCATCTCTACTGCCCATTTCTATTATCTGCTAGGCGAGGAGCCCACACTCCTGTGACCTTGGTTATCCACTGAGTCTTCTGCACTGACAGGGAGACAGCTGCAGCCAAGGAGATACAGCAGCCATTGTGCTAAGATTCCATGTGAACTGCCTTCTTTTCCTGCTGGCATCAAGGCCCATGATCATCTGGGATTGGCAGTGGGCAAACTTGCAGGGGGTGTGCAGAAGACCCAGAGGCCAGTTTTTGTTAACTTTTACATTCTTGTGGCCTTTTACTGTTCCCTCAGTTGCTCTCTCATCCCCTGTCCTCTCTTCTGATGCCTTTCCTTGCACACTGAACTTTCCAGGCTGGGGCAGACCCCTTTAGGACTGGCCAGAGGATGGGAGAGACAGGCAAAGGTCATGGGCCCAGGTGATGACTGGGCTGGGTGGGCACCATAGGCAGCCATGGTCCTGTGGCTGGCCTGCGAGACTGGAGACCTCTTTTCTAGCACTGGCTCTTCCATGGGCTTTAAGTGGGATGAGCCAGGACCTTCCCAAGCCCTGCCATCTGTGGGGCTGGTGGTTTCACAACCCATTTACTCACACATTTAATGAGCACCTGCTGTGTGCCCAGTCTTGTGCCAGGAACAGGGGAAACAACACCCTTTCTATTCTTTCTTGTTTTCAAGGAGCTCACAGTTTCATGGGCAACATATATCCTAATTATTACTTAAAAAATGCAACCTGTCATGGGCTCTAATGAAACACACACACACACACACACACACACACACACACACAATCTCACCATCATGTGCAGATGCTGGTGCTTCCATGGAGTCCTCATTCACTTCCTGAACCAGTCTCCTTCAGAAGGTGGATGAGGACTCCACAGACGCACCAACATCTGAGCATCAAACAATTTACGTCACACAGAGGAAGGGGAAAGACCCTCAGGGTAGAGGTGAAATGGTGGCAAAATTTTTAAGTATTTCCAGCACAACCTCAACATACAAGATCTCAAGTTTTCACTTTATTTATTTTTTCTACATTTTGTAAGCCAAGAAATGAAAACTGTTAGAAGCATTAATTCAGGAAAAATTAAAAAAGTAGAGAACTTACAGTAACTTTAAACGTCTGTACCAAGCCATCTAAAAAACGGATGCTGCAGATGACTTCGGATCGAGTTTTCTCTTTGGGTAACTCTGAGGTGCGTATGTTATTAATTCTTCCACCCAACGCACGTAACCGGGAGGTCATAACTATCGTTGAATAACCTGTTACATAAGATACACCTGTTAGTATTTTGATATGCGAATCACTAGTTACTTGTGAATGCAGATACCTGTCAGATTTGATCCTCTTGATACCGTAGTTTGAGGGACTCACAGATAATGAGAACAACACAGCAGATCATGTTTCCAATGGAGTTTTGAATTCTAAGATGCTCTAAGCAAAATGTGTTGCTAAATTATATGTTCATAGTATTACATGGCTTATTTGCGTGTCTTATTAGCTCCCTGGTCTGAGGTAATATTTATATTTCCCTGGTCCTCCCTAGTCTAAGGTAAAAGTTATATTTCTGATTTATATTTCCTAGGCTTTTAAATTTTTATTTATGTTTCACAATTTTATGTACACATGTGTTTTACCTCTAAGGTTTTACAGAACTATACCCAGTATAAATGTGATTTCAAACATGAAAAGATTTATTGATAAACTAGTATTAAAATTTAAGGACCTCTATTCATTGAAAGACACCATTAAGGCAGTCACAAGGCAACTGACAGAGTGGTAGGAGATACTGGCAATATATATGTCTACAAAGAATACATGAAGTGCTCCCGTTAACCTAGTGAGAATAACAGAAAACTCCGCAGAAAATAGGAAGAAAACAAAACAGGTACTCAACCACATTAGCTATCAAGGAAATACAAATGAAACCACAAAGCAACAGGACCACATGCCCACCAGAGAACCACTATGATTCAAGACTGGCAAAACTACAGAGGGTGTGCAGCAACCACAACTCTCACACGCTGCTGGTGAGAACATAACTGCTGTACTATGGAAAACTGCTGAATGGTATCTACTAAAGCTGAACATATGCATTTATTGTGCTATAACCATTTCAGTCATGGGCACACTCCCAGCAGAAAAATGTATATTCACTCACTAAAAGACATGTACCAGAATCTTGTGGGAGCCAAACTTTGAGCACATATGGACACCAAGGAGGGAATAATAGCCACCAGGGCCTACATGAGGGTGAACTGTGGGAGGAGGGTGAGGATTGAAAAACTGCGTATCGGGTACTACACTTATGACCCAGTTGACAAAATAATCTGTATGCCAAACCCCCGTGACAGGCAATTTACCTATATAAAAAAAACCTGTGCATGTACTCAGAACTTACAAGTTAAAAAAATTTTTTTTTTAAGTCACGACAATTCAAAGATTTGGTCCACAATATGTATCTAATAATAATTTATAACAATAACAAAAAAGAAACTTCATAATAGTCCTAAACTGGAAAAGACCCCATCTATCAAATGTAGAATGGATAAATTGTGGTACAGTCATATCATACAATACTATACAGCAGAAGAAAGAAATGAACTACCATTACATGTAAAACATGAATCAGTTGCTTTAAGTTGAGGAAGACATGAGACACAATAGATTATCTGCTGCATGATTCCATTTATATAAAGTTTACAAACAGGCAAAACTAATCGATGCTGATAGAAGAACGGATAATGGTTACCTTTGTGTGTAGTGAGGGGAAGGGTTTTCTGGGATGCTTTTAATCTTCTATTTCTTGATGTGGGTGCTAATGACACTGGTGTAGTCACTTTGTGAAAATTTACCAAGCTCTACATTTATGATTTGTGTACTTTTCTGTATGTATGTTTTTATAACAACTTTACTTTAAAAAAAAAAAAAGAGTACAATATTTATGAAGAGGGAATTAGAGGGCATTCAAAATCTGACCATGGTATTAGGGAACAGTAAGGAAACTGGTTTAACTGGTGAATTAAATGGTGGAGAGGTAGGTGAAAAGACTGGAAAGGTGTGCAGCTGAGGACATGACAATATCATGTAGGTGGAAGGATGTAGGCCTCTACAAAGAATACAGGAAGCAGCGGGGTGCGGGGACTCACACCTGTAATCCCAGCATTTTGGGAGGCCGAAGCGGGTGGATCACCTGAGGTCTGGAGTTTGAGACTAGCCTGGCCAACATGATGAAAATACAAAATCAGCCAGGCATGGTGGCACATGCCTATAATCCCAGCACTCTGGGAGGCCGAGGTGGACACATCACCTGTGGTCAGGAGTTCGAGACCAGCCTGGCCAACACGGTGAAATCTCATCTTTACTAAATATACAAAATTAGCCGGGCATGGTGGCACATGCCTGTAATCCCAGCTACTCTAGATGCTGAAGCATTTGAACCCAAGAGGTGGAGGTTGCAGCGGGCTGAGATCGTGCCATTGCAATCCCTGGGCAAAAAGAACAAAATTCTGTCTCGGGGGCAAAAAAAAAAAAAAAAAGAAGTGAAGTTATTTTACAAAGCAAATTGGCTCAGGGAATGGAGAAGATACAAATCTGATGGTCTTGGGTGAAAGAGCAAATAAAGAGGAAGGGCCTGAGAATAATTAGTTTTTATTAATTATCTGCAAACTTTCTCTGATGGACTAGGCCTCTGCATATGCTATTCCTTCTGCTTGCAAAGCTCTTCCAGCTCCTCTTCATCTGATTAACTCCAGTTCCTGGTCAGTGTTCAGCACACGCACCACTTCCTCTGGGAAGCCTTCCCCGGCCTCCCTAACCAGTCACAGATTTGAGTGACAGAGTTCACTCACTAGTGCTCATCCTCATTTCACACTTACAACTGATGATATGTATATCTGCTTCTCCCACTAGATGCAAAGCCCCACAAGGGTAGGTCTGCTTTTGCTCATTGTACTTTCAAACCTAGGTCTGGTAGGCAGTTAGCAAATGTCCAAATGAATGGAAGGAAGAATGAAATAGAAAACGAAGCCAAGATTTATAGTCTGCACAACAGACTACATAGCAGTACTGCAGTACAACAAAACTGTATAGCAGTACAACAGGATAGACAAACTTGAGAAGGATGGGGTGGGGTCTAAGTAGAAATTAGATGGGGAGTCTGGTACGATAGTGCCCACCTGCAGTCCCAGCTACTCTGGAGGCCAAGGTGGGAGGGCTGTTTGAGGCTAGGAGTAAGAGTCCACCCTGGGCAACACAGCGAGACTCTATCTCTTAAAAAAAAAAAAAAAGAAGAAAAGAAAGAAGGAATGCAGACGGGAGAGAAGACAGATGTCCCATAGACCAGTGCTTCTCACAGTGCAGTGTGTGTACAGAGTGCTTACAGATCTTGTTAAAATGCAGACTCTGATTCAAGTAGGCCTGGACAGGACCCAAGAGTCGTCATCTTGTCTCCCCGGTGATGACCAAGCTGCTGCTGCCAGGGTCCGTTCTGGGAGAAGCAAGTCACAGGTAATTGGAAAATTACCTAATGTCAGGGTGGGGCCAGAGAAAAGATTTGCGAGTCAGTAGCAAGGAGTAGTGACTCACCTCTCAGAAGGATATGGCCAAAGCAGACTGGCCAAAGCTGACTGGAGCGCCAAGAAGCTTCAGGGAAAGGCAAGGGGGCAGCGATTAGGTGCAGAAAGTACATCCAGGAAGAGAGGCACTTGGTCTTTTTATCATTATATTTAAGGAGCTCCAAGTAAACCTCCCTTAGATAAGGATAGGGAACCTCAAATATTAATAAAAAAAATTCCTGGGACCAACAGTGCAAAAAAACTTATTCAGTCACTTATAAAATTCCACCCACCCCACCACCTCCGCCTTGCCCTTTCCAATGAAAATGTCATCAGAAGCAGGGATGCATTTTCTGAGTAATACAAAAAGTTATCAAATGACAACAAATGTGTTCCATAATGCTTTAACCACATTGACTTTAAAATGTCAATTTTATTTTTTAGTTCTTGTCTAAGAATCTCAGGTGGGTTACATTTTTTTTCAAAAGACACAATAGAACCATTACAAGTCGGTTTTAGTGGGAGGCGCACATCAGAATCACCTGGGGAGCTTTTAAAAATTGCCTGTCCCCACAACCCTCCCCCCCCTTCAAGTGGTGATTCAGCATCCCTGGGTGTGGCACAGAATCATTTTCCCTTTGGTAAAGCCCTCAAAGTAACAGCCAGGGAGGCGAGGACCAGAGGAGTGGGTTTCCAGGGAACCTCTGGGTGTGTTTTGGATGGATGGCCTTAGAATACAGGCTCTACAGAATCTAAACCATTCATTGTGTGGATGAATTCGCTGTGTGTGAAGAGAGGTGGGCAGTTGTTCTGTGGAGCAGCTAAAACAGAGATAGTCACACAATGACCCCAGGCAGAAAAAACTAAGATTTGAAACAAGTGCCTCCAAATGAAAGTCACCAATGTCCAATGTTGGACATTGATTTTCAAACTTCACCTGAGCAGCTCCTCATAGCTCATGCTGGCATTCATGCTGCTGGGGCTTATTCATTTCACCACAGTTAGCAGTGATGCTGTCCAGCACAGTCACACAGCCAGCTGACAAAATAAAGCTAACCAGTAACTCAAACAGACTTTCCCGTCTCATGTCCATCTCTGATTGTTACATAAAGGGCTTGAAACCTAATGACAATGTCATAAATATGTATTTTATGAAAGCTGCAGAAATCTTCCTATAATGGTTCCTAAAGCAAACCTTGGTAAGAATGAGCCTGATGTTGAATAGCCAAATAATTGAGCCATGTGGTATTTTCAGATTGTCTTGAAATTACATCTTAAACAATCTGGTCGTGACAATGGATGCTGACTAACTGCCCTGTTTCCTGTACCACAGCAATTGGGGAACTCAGGGTTTCTATGGCTTCCTTTATAAGCCTCTTAATTCTAAATAAAGCCACAACCCAACCAGGAACATGCTGGCCTCTCTGACCACAAGTGATTACAGCTGCTGCTGTGCATTTTATAATATGGAAGCCAAGCCTGTTCTTTGCATGAGTTTAAACATCCATTATAACTTTAGAATGTTTTAAACAATAGCAATTGAAGCTCTACTGTGAATACAGTCTTTAATCAAAGATTGTATTTGGAAAACGTATTATTGAAAGGGGCAACACCTCACTTTGGAAACAGTAGAGGCACAATAAAGACCATGAGAGTTAGAGTGGCACATGGAAAGTGCTTAGCACATGTGGCACACATGCCAGGCA